TGATACAAAATGTGACTGAGTGAAGGACATGCAAGCGTACAAACACAACTTCCAGAGTAAAAACTAGTGGAAGTTAGTCGGTTAGATAGTTTTTACCAGCTGGACGATCCAGAGAGCCGGCTGTAGACACCCTCCTCTCCTCTCCCCAGTTGAGTCGGGGCCACTCCTCGTAGCTACTGCTGCTCTAGTTGCTGTGCATCCTCCAGCAGAGAATGGGACTTTGAGTCTGTGTCCTTGAGTGAACAAAAAGAGTTCAGTGGTTCTAAAACTGGCTTCTAACTCGACATTTCTGACCTTAGAAACGGGGAAGAGAGGAGCGATCACCTTGTTTCTCACACCTGCTCCACGAGCTGCTGCACAAAAAACCATCCACTGCCAAAAATAAGGGGCAGCGCTGTTTAAATAAAAGCTTCTGGATCGAACCCGTCAGTAAGATTAGTAGGGATTCATAATGCTGTCCTGTGCACATAGTCTGCCTTTGCATGAAGCACAAACACTGGTTGTCTGCTGGTTGATGGTTACTTGAATGGTGATGTGTAGATCTTTTTATTCTTTTTTTAGATGTAGCAGTATCAAAGTCGCACACGGTTACTTTATGATCCACAGTGTTCTTTTATGTGACTGGAGTTTATTCAAGTGTTGAGCTACTTGTGTCTGCACATTGAAGTTCAACTCTGCTCCAAGTGTTTATCTTCTTCACCGCAGCTGATGAAACAGTTAATAAATATGACCTGCAAACGGGGAGAGCTATTAACCTGAGCATAACCCCTGAGTCTATTTACAAGATGTGGCTTCACACAGACACAATCTTTGCCACGTTGCCAGGTCTAACGAATGGCAGCAATTAGGAGTCTTTTTAATCCACTCCACAGTTTTATGGGCGACTTTATAGACATGCTGTGATTCTGTGCACCGGTGATGTTTTCTGTCTTTGCTTTAAACTGTATGTCCTTAAATCTACATCAAAAGCAGAATAAAATCTAGTAGCAATCAAGAGGTGTCCTCGGGCTTCTGTCCACATTGTTGGAAGTATTTTGTTTACTCTGTGTGGTCTGCAAAAAAGTAAATATCTCAAGTTATCTTTGCATAAGAGAATCCTGAAGTTTTGGAAATGGAAAACTCATTTCACATTCAGCACAGGAGTGTTTCTACAAAGAGTTTTGAAATATTTTTCTGGTTTCTGGTCCACGGTTGCACAGACTCTGAAGATGTATTAAGATGGTAAAGAAATTATGCAATATGTCTGATACCCTGCCAGCTCTTAGCTGCACTGTAAACCTCCTCCCCACTTCACAGGAAACCACACATACAGTCCACACATAGGAGCTCTGGGTTGTGGTTGTGTATTGACACTGACACTGCTGCGTTTGTCCTCTCCTTTTTTTAAATCTGTGTTTCTGTTCTTTGTTGCTACTGAGTCAAGAAAGGATTTAGTTTCAAGAAAATATTTGACATCCAATAAATGTCTACACATTTCTGTGGAGAGATTTGATTGTTTCAGTAGTAAATATTGCAAGAATAGAGCAAAGAAAGTAGAATTTTTGCAATAAAACAACATGAAAACACTTTTGAATGCTCTATAGAGGTCCTGAAGTGCTTCAGTTTGACATGTTGGTTAACTTGTGACATCAGTTAAAAGAGGCCTTGTGTTCAGGAAAGGGCAGTTTTGTAATCCAACCTGTTTCTGTCCAGTATCAACACTCTTGTACATATAAACACATGAAGTTTAAAGTTGTAATGGTGCTGGACTCCCTCCAGGTCCAGACCTTTAGTCAGTGTTTCTCTTTCAACCAGTATGAACTTGTCAGGATCGGGCAACGTGACATATGTTTTTTGTTTTTTTTAGATGGTTACTCCATCAGATTAGGTGCTTTAACTATCTTGGCTTTGCTTGACTAAGAGGCGTATCAGACATGATTTTCTGTTAATCACAATCTATACAACCAAGGAGATGAAGTGTGAAGGACCAGAGAGAATTTCTGGGAACAAATGCAGTGCAACGTTTTTAGCCAAATTTTTACATTCTTATTTGTTAGAAAACATCCTCAAGAACGTGTCCTACATTCATCCCATAGTGCTAGAGTCCTCAAGAACTATCCTGCAGCTCTGGTTATAGAGTCAGTCTTACATTAAGAAACAGAAGATACTGACATCCAGAAATACATTGAAAAACTGCACACAAGTAATTCCTTTCTGTGCCTAACACTTTGGCACAGTATTGTATATCACAACCATGTAGTCTGAAGTATTCCATAGTGTGGTGTTGACACTGCCAAGTAAGGAAAGAAAGAGTTTGAAAGATATTTGTTTTAGTTTTTTTTGGTGGATATATTGTAATGAGATATCACCAAAATCTTGAAAACACGTGTTTTCTTTCATCCACGTAATTATGACATAATGTGTTATTGTTATGACAAATTATGTCATACTTGTGTTTTGTCAGCAGGTGTGATTATAAAAGAGTAACTCATGATGAGACTGTGGTTGGATCTTTATTTAAGCAGTCAGTCCAGACATTTGAAGTGGCTCCGGAGCCACTTTGCAGGCTCCTTGTAGAAACGGTATCTGCTTTTACATCAGCTTCCTTTGTTTGAGTCTGGCGTGAGTTTAAAATCTTAAGCTCCTGTCAGCTTACAGACTTTGCTGCATGGCACATACATGTTGTGCTTTCCTCACACCATTATATGTGGTGAAAGGGAGCCCTTAAAACTTGAGAATTGATTTTGCGCATTTTTGATAACAAGCGCTTCTTAGCTTTTCATACAATTACTTATTTTTATTTTGTCCTGTATGTTATTTTGAGATTTGTGCACAGCTTGCTGTGATAAATATAGTTAATAAAATGAACTTAATTGAAAACTCTAATTTTGATTAGTAATTATAAGCAACATTTATTGATTCATTTGCATTAAAGTTAATTTCTCTGTGTCTTTTTTCTTTCCCTTTCTTTCTCTGCAGGGTGCTGGTCAGGAGAAGCTGGGCATTTACATCAAGTCTGTTGTCAAAGGTGGAGCAGCTGACATGGTTCGTATAAATACTAAAACTGCAACCATAACACACTATGATGAGAGAAAACATTAACAGCGATTCATTGTGTGATATGTGCGTTTGTGTTTGCACAGGACGGACGTTTGGCAGCAGGTGACCAGTTGTTGAGTGTTGACGGGCGCAGTTTGGTCGGCCTATCACAAGAGAGGTAGAAACAGTGTTCCCATTCTTGTTTTTCATTAATTTTGGCATGTACTTACTGTTTTGCACTTTTTGTATTGAGTTGTTGAAAAAAAATGCAAATTAGAAAAGGGAAATTCCCCACTGACATGTGTAAATTCTAATTTTACTGTAATGACATCTAGTGAAGAAACAGCAGGAGGAAATGTGGGTGCACATAGTGTTTCTTTTTATACATGTGACCACCTACCACGCAGTATTGACGTTTTTATGCTCTATTTAGGGTTTATGATGAATTTCACTTTCAGTCTATTCTGAGAGTTGAAAACATTTGAAAAGCAAATTGTTATGTAGGCATGATCAGATAACCACATTTTGGAAGTTGAAGACATCTTGAGGTTTTTGCATTGAGGTAGTTGCATCCTATTTGTCCTCGTGAAACGACAGAATTTCCAGCATGTCTGGGACACGCAGTTCTAGCAGAAAAAGGGTGTGTGTGTGTTTTGGAAACAGCAGCAGAGCGCTCGGTGGCTAACGCCCCGCACGGATTAATCCAGTTATTCCTCTCGCTCAGCATGAACAGGCTTGATGTTCAGTGTTATTGCTTACTGTGTGTCAGCCTAAAGCCAAACTGGATTTACAAATGATTAGTTTAATTGCTTTAGCATGCAGTTAGCAGGTGGGCTAGGTTTATTATATCAGGCCATTCGTGATAACTCACTTTTTTTCTGTGAATTTTTGAACTTCTCAGTAATGATGGCATCCCCTCCTACTCCTGTAGGTCTCTGCCAACATGTTAAGATTCAGAATGATTTGTTGCCTTCAGCGCTGCGAGATGTGTGTGAAAAAGCTAAATCCTGTGGCTTTTCCAAATGTGGATTTAGAGCCTGTTCTTACTCAGTATGAAGGAGCTGATGTTAGACTCACATAGTTACATCTAATCATACACACAGCTCATTACCTTGTGTGATCTGCCCTTCGACTGTTTATAGGATTTGGTTAAAGCCCTCTGCACACAGGCACGTGTGACTGTCACAGAAAATAACATGCCTACTGAGTGTGTGTTTGTGTGACACAGCAGGGTTGTAATCAAATTAGAGTGAAGTGAGTCTCTGGCAATGACAAATATAATCCCTGCCTCCTCTGGTTCATAATAAAGGTCTTGCAGTTTGTGTTGCTGCCTCTTTGTGTGCCAGTAGACTGAAACTTTACTTGTGTTTTCCTTTTATGACTAACAGTAGTTACTTAGATGGTGACAGAAAATTAATTACATTATCAAATCTATTAATTCACTTTGTATTATTTTGCCTGAAAAGTGACCAATTGTCTTTAATGTCATCTTGGCCATTTATATAGTAAACAAAAGGATGAAGTGATGTGTCTTCAGGACCATAGTATCAGATGTAAACAACATGTAGTGTAAAGAACAATATGCAGCAAACAACATAGAGTGACTACACAGAACTGCATGCTTCCATTGAACAGTACAGCATATGATTATATATATGTAGCTATACATTTGTGGGTTGGACAACAGAGGCTTATTCATAACTATACAAACCAGAGAACGTGGTTTTATTTATATGACTGTGGTATTGACAGAGTAAAGTGCACATTATACAACCTGAGCAGCAACTGGGAGATAAAAAAGTTCATATGTAAACAAAACTCTTGTATAATGTTTAAGGCAGATGGCAATGTTTTTAGTTCAACAGGGCACAGAGGAGCCTGGCAGAAGAAGCTATAGCACAGTTTTACTGCTTTTCTCTGCTTTATGTTATTTGTATTTATTACATTTTGGTTTTGTTAACGTCACACTGGGCTCAGGGAAACTGTGGTGGCCATGTTATACTATTTTCTACATTTTCAGGGAAGCAATTAAACCATGAGAATACTAGTTAATGCAGCACCCAGCAATCTGTTGCATGAACTTTAAAGTAATAAATGTGATAATAAAAGTGATAAAGTGTTGTATTTCAAATAAATGATTATCTTCTGCCGTGAAGACAAATGTCAAGCCTGGAGATTTTCTTCAAATTGCTCTCACATTCATATAGATGATGACTTTATGTTTAATGTTTATGTGTATGATGCTGCCTAATATTTAGTTAGATTTTTCTCATATATCGGCCAATGACCTCCTCTTCAGAACCTGACATTTAGAATAAGATTCCTGACACTGAACTACCCGTCAGCTTACCTTAAATTGGATCAATAAGACGGGCTGTGGTATTTCAACACAGTGTTATTGTACTGGAAGGATCACAGTGAAGCGAGGACCTTCAGATAAATTCATTCTGATCACGGGGAAGACAGAGCTTGGTAAAGCTTGTTGCAGTTGAACAGGAGATTAAAATATTAATGTGTATCACATCAGAGAATAGTTTAAGTGTGTCAGATCCAGGAAAGTTGCGAGTTTAATTTTCATGCTCGCTCTCTCTCTCTCTCTCTCCTCCCTCTCTCGCTCTCTCTCTGTTCAGGGCGGCAGAGTTGATGACGAGGACGGGCTCAGTCGTGACTCTGGAAGTTGCCAAGCAGGGAGCCATCTACCACGGACTGGCAACCCTCCTCAACCAGCCGAGCCCCATGATGCCAAGAGGTGAGCACACCCAAACGGCCTAAATGGGATTGTAAATTAGCTGCTGTTGTTCGGGCAATTTTTTATTTATTTTTTTTTATCAGTAACTGTATTTATTTTATTTCTTTTTTTTTTGTTTTTGTTGGAGTGTTGGGTTTGTCTGTGTTTTTCTTTTTTAAATACAAATGTTCTTAAATTAGTGTTCTTAGTATCCTTTTGTTCTTCTGTTTTTCTCATTTATATTGTATATATAGTGTATACATCTCACCTTTTTTATTTATAGTTGTGTTTTCTTGATTTTCTTACTGTCACTTTGCTGCTGTGACTTTGCAAATTTCCCCTTGTGGGACCAATTGAAGATATTCTATTTTATTCTCTTCTATTATTATGTAATGACCTGAGATTCACACCTTCAAATTGGATGGATTTAATTTAGAAACACAACAAAAAGTCAGCATTTGTTTTCACTGATGTCTGTTCTTCCTCGTGATTTTGAAGAACGTTATTTCTTGAGCAGAATAAACAGAAACTTAATCAGCAACAGCTTTGATTAGTGACTAATAATTTAGTTGATTTTTCATGCAAACATGTCAATCATTCACTGGTTACAGCTTTTCCGGTGTGAGAATCAGCTGAATTTCTCTGTTCAGTCAGTTCAAATACATTCGTGATCAAAGTTACTTCTGTACACATCTTCTTTATTTTATGCTATTCAACATTCAAGATTTGTTTATTTATCATTTATCTGTGTATGTGCATACACAAAAAAATGAAATATCGTTCCCCCCAGCTCGCAACAGTCCCAAAGAAAAACAGTCAACAGTAGGTTAAAAGACGGTACGCCATAGAATAAACACAAACAATGAACTGATTAAATAATTGGCAGTTTTAACAACAAAGGAACCTCTACTACAGGACACATAAACAATCGAGAACAATACAAGCCATTTACAAAGTTCACACAGACGTAAATTTGGCTCTTAAAACCTGCAGATTTTCACCATTCAGAAGTAGTAATGAATGGACTATTGTTGGTTCTACTATTAGCTAATGCCAGTAATTTGGCGTTGTGGATGATGGAAGAGAAGCAGACTTGTCCAGACAGTGTGTCCTTGTTGTCTTCTGTGTAGCACAGTAAAAATCCAGCTTGCAGACTGAAGGATATAATGAGTGCTTGTGGCCAGAGCCGGCCATGTGTCTGTGTGTCTGTGCATGAAAAGCTGCACACACATACATGGCATAGAGTTTACAGGGTTGTCTGGCTGTGTGCTGGTCTTTGTCTGCAGGAATGTGACCCCTGATTCATTAAGGAAGTCTTCTGGCCCGGGCCAGTCTGCGGTCCAGAATGACGATAAAGGGGTGTTTCTCCCAAATTCCCTCAACCACAGTGTTTTGCAGTGCTGACAGAGAAACTTAACCAACAGACAGTGAAGGACGTTCCTTAGTATAAATATGCTAGACAAGTTGAACGTGAGTGTAGTTTCCCAGGCAGGACTGAACTCAGAAACAATCTGGTGAACTCTCTTTCAAAGAGGTCAGCTCATTTATAACCAAACAGATGTAGTGATCAGACAAACAGCAGCATTATTTAATGTCAGCTACTGGGAAAACCATAAAAGTATTGCCAAACATAGACAATCTTCAGCCACAAAGAGGATCACTTTCTTTCTAAACAGCTCCTTCTTTTCTCTTTTACTCTGAAATTTATGTTCAGCATCAGACCGAGGCCGTGAGAAAAACGGGAAAATGCGACCAAAGAGCGAAGGCTTCGAGTTGTACAACAGCTCGGTGCAGAACGGCTCTCCTGAGAGCCCGCAGGCTGGCTGGGACTCTTACCCCGAACCAAAGAAGATGAGCGGCGAAGACCGACTCCTGAAGAACCGAGCCGACCACCGCTCCAGCCCCAACGTAGCCAGTAAGCATATCTGCTCACCAGGATTTTATTAAAGTTCTTTTCTCTGCTGTATCTAATAATATTTATATACTTATTTAATTCAAACAGCAAATAGAAGACCGGGTATTTTTATTTATGTATTTTTAAAGTATTCATATGATCAGTTTAGTTCTGTACGGACAGAATTCTCCAACCCAGTGATTTGGAAAATGACAGTTCTGCATGTTAGATAGGGCTGCAGCTAATGATTGTTTCCATTGTCGATTAATCTGTTAATTGTTTTCTCGATTAATCGCTGAGTTGTTTGGTCTTTAAAATACTCATCAGGGTTTCCAAACGCCCAAGATGAGGTGTTCAAATGTCTTGTTTTATCACAACCCCCAAAATATTCTATTTTCCAGTCAGAGAAGGAAAGAAACCACAAAATATTGACAATTAAGAAGGCCGATTTGGATCATTTTTCCCGAAAATTAATCAAATTCTTATCAAAGCAGTTAATGATTAATTACCTTTTTTCTTCCTTTGCAGCTCTAATATTAGAGCTGTTGAGTTGCATTTAATGGGTCCAATCAGCACACTGGTACAGAACTCAAATATAATTACTGGCCACGCAGCTCCATTTAGTTTATTTTTTGAACTGGGGGTGTGAGCGTGTCTGCTCTGTACTGTTTGTCTTCATTTTGAAGTAAACATCAATAAATTGTCTTGGTGTGTAGTTGGAATAAACAGATATTGAGTTTTTAATTCATTGGCATCCTGACAGTAAGTCCACCCAGTTTGTTGTCTGTTATCATGTGCCCTGTAGCAGAGGAGAAGCATGTTCTTTTTCTTCTCATAACATTCCCACCTAATGTAGACAATCAATCAAGAAAATCCTTATGAAAATTAAACAGGCTTGATTAGATGTGATAAAATGTATCCTCTCAGGCATCTGTGGCAAACAAGGCTTGGCAGCATAGGCAGTAATGAAAACAGGAAAAAAATAAAGCTGCCCTGATGTTATTCTTCAGCCACTCCACCCTGATACGCAAACACAGTGCGACTGTACTGAATGTCTGGAAAAAGCATTTAAAATGTGGTTTAAAAAAAAAAAACCGCTTCATGGCAGGATATTGTTTTATTTGAGTATAAAAGCTTTTAAATATATTAAAACATCTGCCTCTTCTTCCCTTGCATCAGATCAAGGCCAGAGTCCTGCAAGCAAGTCGGTGTATCCTGGAGGACCTGGCACTAAGATCACCTCCGTCTCCACTGGGAACCTGTGTGCAGACGTGAGTAGCTGTTAGACTGAAGCTGGTGGCGTCTTTGTGTGGAATGTTTCAGCAGAATAGATGACTGGAGAGTGACACCAACACTCGAGGACACTCAGTATCTAGAACAGAGATGAGAAATAAGTTTTCATTTTCCATATGGAGCTTGTCTGTTTAGCACCGCAAGGATGTCTCAGATATTTTCTTTTAACATTTTTTGGTTTTTTGTTCCACAGGATGAGCCCTCTCCTCCCCGTCCAGAGGCCTACCCCATCCCCACCCAAACCTACCCCAGGGAGTACTTCACCATCCCAGCGTCCAAGAGCCAGGATCGGGTAGTGGTTCCAGGACAGGGGCCCTCACAGCAGTGGCAGGGCATGGAGGACAGAGAACGCCTCCCTGTGGTTGATAACATCCACAACAACAGCATGCAGGTAAGAGAGCAGCATGAAGCTCTTCACCTTTCTAGACCCGACCCTCCCTACTTCTGTTCTGTTTGTAGTCACACTGAGCTGAATGAAAAGCCGTTTTTAAAATGTGAGGTACAAATACAGCAGCAAGCTTTCTGACAAACTTCTCACTCTACGGCAGAGATATAAGGAGAAATATACTAAATCCGAAGTTTCTTTGCATTGATTTTTCATGTAAACAACACTGTAAAGTCAAATCTACTGTTTTCTACACTACACTATAGTATGTTTAATAATAAATACAGTGTACATTTTAAGTTGTTGACATCTGTGTAATTGAATATCTATCTTACTTGGAGTAGTTTATGAGTAAATGTAGAGGTAGTCACATAAAATGTACATTTTCTATGAGAAACACAGTGCCAGTAGGTCAGCATCAATGCTTGTTGGAGGGTCTTATTACTAACTTCCACTCCTTGTTAGTTAATTAGGGATGGCCGCCATACAGAAGCCACTACTTTAGTGACATATCTGAACTATTGTGAAGAGACAGTCCTCTGCCTCTCCATCCTTTTCTCACCAAGTGCTCTTCTTAGCTTGTTCCTTCTTATTTTAGACTTTTTTCCTCTCTCCTCCTGCTCTGCTCTCCTGCCATTTGCCTCTTATTTCCTTGAATAATTTGTCTCCTTTTTCTCATCTAATGTAATATTTTTATCTCTTTACAGCGGATTAACCACTCCCAGGAGGAGTTGTACCCGCCACCAGGAGTTCTGAGGCCGGATGAGCGCATGCAGCCGCACTACCAGCAGGACTACCAACACCGGGACCTGGACTACCAACACAGAGACCTTGACTATCAGAGAGGTCCACCAGGAGGTAAGACAAAGAAAACCTGAGAGAAGGAAGAGGGTGGTTTGCAGCACCTGATGCAATATTATCCACCAGATTATACAACAGCTCGTCAGCACTCAAATGTTCCTCTAAAATGTAATTAAATGTAATGGCTTTGTTCATGATTGTATAATATATTTAAATCACAATATTAAAATCAGAATGTCAGAGAAAAAAAAAAATTGACATTTGCCCTTAATCTGCAAAATCAGAACACACCAGAAATCCTTTCCACTGTCTGTTGCATTTTCATGATTCATTAGGTGAAAGCAAGTCAGACTCAGCCTTTACCTCCCTCTTAGTATTTTTAAGAAGCCACTCTAAATAAATTAATAAAAGGAAACCTTGAGTGCTGAACTGCATTTGCCAGCTGAAACAAAATCACCCCCATCCCCCGTATCTCTGTAAAATATATAGTTTTGCCCTCTAACAGCTGTCTCCCTTCATCTGGGAGCTGAATATGTAAATAGTATATAAACATCAATGATAAAATGTCTGACCAGAGTAAAGACATTGTTTACATCCAACATTGCCTCAGACTCTTCTTCATAGGAATGCATGATCAGGCCAATAAAGTCTGTTGAAATACTGGATTTAAAGTTTGGTTGGGCTGCCAGGAAAACATTTTATCTTTTTGGACAGAGAGCAGACATCTCTGAGATCACAAACTACCCTTCAAGTAATCTACAAACAGCTTATAACAGGAAAGAAGATCACATTTAGACTTGTTCTTAAAGTTTGTGTAGGAAATAGTGTAACCGAATTACGTCTTTAGTGCTGAGGTCCCTGAGGAACGAGGTTGTAGAGTTTACTGATCTTTCACAGCGTCTGTATTTGTATCTGGGTGACCACTGGCTGTTTCTGTATGTCTGCTGTAGTAGGACCAGACCACTGGGCCCCACAGCCACAGGTGTCTTCTTCACTGGAGTCTTCCACATCCAGCCAGGAGCACCTCAACTTCTCAGCCTCGTCCTCTTCTTCCAACAAGACCCAGAACCAGAAGACTGGCCCGGGCCGATGGAAGACGCCCAACACCCCTCACGCTGTGCCGCCACATTCAGCACAGACTCCATCCCGCTCTGACCTGCCCCCTCCTCCGCCCCCACCTCCGGCCCCTTACCCCGACGCCTACGACCCCTACGACCCCCAGCCCGACCTGCCGCTCCCACCACCTCCCTCCGCTGTCACCCCTGTAACAGCACAGCAGGCTGCTGACCGCAAGAAGCGAGAGGAGCAGCAGCGCTGGTATGAGAAGGAGAAGGCTCGGCTAGAGGAGGAGAGGTGGGATTTCCTTTGTGTTTTGATTTTACAATGTTGTATTACATTTATTAAAACAAATAATGTTTAAAAAATAAATCATTCAACAGATAAAGAAAGACAGCTAAAGAGGAAATGCACAAATAGAAATGTCTGTCCTTAATATCCAGCACATTACATTTTGCCTAAAGGTTGTCCACACACACTGAAATTTGCAAAGTTACATCCTCAGTGCTTGTCGTTGCTCAGAATAAGCCTTTGCAGGTTGACCATACACAAAAGGAAGCATATTTGGCCTGCTTGTCTCACATTATACAGAATAAAAACTTTTCCCAAACATGGTGTCCTAAATGAAGGGCTGCAGATTAAACAGGACACCACATAAATACTTAAAAAACTATATTTTTACATTTTTGGCTGGACTATTTTTTTCAAGTGAAAAAAAAATCATACATCATACATGGCATCTAACATCAGAACAAGAGAAGTCACAGCTTAGTGCATTCCTTTTTTTCTACTTGCACTGTCAGCATCTTTGAGCCATATAGAATTGGAAATGCTTCTATCTTTAGGCTGCTGAGGTAAAAGTCAGAATGGTTTAACTTTATGGGGCATAACTGTTTTACAGTGCAGTCAGCTTGTTATCCATGTGGTTTCTGTTTAAAGTTGACTAACACTCAGTTAATATGATATAGCTGATTATGTGTGTAATATTGATGAGGATGATTTTGATATTCCAGGGAGAGGAAGAGGAGGGAGCAGGAGAGGAAGTTGGGTCAGATCCGGGCCAACCCCGTAATGCCCGTCCAACCTCACAACAACGGAGGATCCATGCCTCCTCCTCACCACCAGCCCCCTATGGCCTCTGTGGCCCCTCCCCAGCCCTACCTCCCCCCACAGCCCCAGCCTCCCCCATCCAGACCGGAGAAGCTGGCCAGCCTGCCGCGGTCAGCTGTACCTCCCCCCGCCAGTGCCTCCAACCCTGCCGGTAACGCATTCAAGCAGAAACATTTCTTATATTTAATGTTTCATGTCAAAAATAATCTGTTTTAAACTCTTCAAATAATCAATCCAGATGTCTTCCACTAATAAATGCAATATTATTGTAGGCATGGACACAGTCATCAGGGAGCTGCTTCCGCAGCAGCAGCCACGGACCATTGAGAGGCGAGACCTGCAGTACATCACCATCAGTAAAGAGGAGCTAACGTCCAGTGACAGTCTGTCTCCAGACCCCTGGAAGAGAGATGCCCGTGAGAAGGCCGAGAAGCAGCAGCAGCTTCACATTGTGGATCTGCTGGACAAAGAGATCCAGGAGCTGCAGGTAGGTGTAATTTACATCTTTTTTTTTAAATTAAATTTTTGTTTGTGTTACTCAAGTAGAATGGGCACTCCTGTGTCTAGTTTTGTTTCTTCTCAAGTGCACATCAGTTCATATTTACTGTCCTCAGAGAAAATATGCTTTTAGCTGCACTTGTCAATGTTCACAATTATTATTTAGTCATTTTTAATTAAAACTAATTTACTGATTATTTAGTCATCATTTGATTTTTCTTAATTACAGTAATGCATTTAAGCTTGTTAATATATGAGCCCAAAAGACTACAGAGTAAAAGATATATTCTACTTTACATTGTCACATATATACATAAAATGACATATCTGACCTGACAGGCTGCACAGCAATGATGTAGTCAGGTGATGATTTTTATTTGCATTTCAAAACATTAAGAAATATATTTTGAATTGCTAAATGCTATGCCACTACTGTTTAAATATATGACATCTCTTATGTTGGCATAACCACAGAATTTAAACTCATTTTGCACCGCATCACTTTGATTAATATTCAACTGAATGTACAATTCAAACAATGTGTCACAGCTTGTGGTGCTACAGAGACCTCCAGTTTACACTGTTTATTGGCTTTGATTCCAAGTGCAGCCCTGAACATGCTTTATTTCCCAGGCGAAGCCGGAGCGAACGGCAGAGGAAAGCGACCGCCTCAGGAAGCTGATGCTGGAGTGGCAGTTCCAGAAACGACTGCAAGAATCCAAGCATAGCGACGAAGACGAGGAGGAGGAGGACGATGAAGACGTGGACACTATGATGATCATGCAGAGGCTGGAGGCGGAGAAGAGAGCCAGGGTGAGACGGGTAGTGGTGGTGGGGGAAGGATAATAGACAGGATAATAGAGGGAAATAAAAGAAAATAGTGGGAAGGGAAGAATTGATCATCTGAAGGAAAGAGAGAAGATGCAAAACAAAATGGAGAGAGGAAATTGTATCGTGTGTAAATGCTGCTTTTGCAGAAATAAAACTTTCTGACTTCTGTTTTTCAAGCGCTATCACCCATCAGCTCACAGTTCAGAAACAAATGTGTAGCTTCGTACACGAGGACGGGCGAGTCGCAGGAAATCAGGCTGATGGGGGGAAAAACAGAACAGCTTTTCAAATGCTAGAAGAGGAAATGGATTCCTCTGTGGCAGCGCTCCCACTATGAATGTCCTGCAATGTGCATCTGCAACATGCTTCTGTCATCGCTTTGCCATGCTGAGCTGCTTAAATCTGATTGGCTGGAGGGGCGGACGGGAGGGTTGGGCAGGAAGGCAGGCAACGGTGCTGTTAAAGCTGCTTTCACATCAAATGGACCGACTTTTTAGTTTGACTAAAGCGGCGTGTGCTCAGATGGATCAAATGTCGTGTTGATGCTTAGTGATGTGTGCTTAGTGATACAAGTTCATCATTTACAGCAAACAGGTTCATCTATTAACTGTAAACAGCAGAGACGCAGCGTCTTATATCATGAGGGCAGCCTTTATGATTATCTAAGCCCTGATGTAGCGCTAACATGGCTGCCAAATGTCCTAAATGTTTCAGGTGAATTCTTGGCTGCTCCTAAAAGTGGTTGAAATACTTCTCATTTCTAGCGCAGCAGATCTGAATGTCTCTGTGTGACAGTCTGTGGTGAGATCTGGCAGGCTGTGAGTGGATGTGGCAGCGTGTGTTGAGGGTTGCTGGTGGATTCAGCTGTGTGTGGTGAGCATGATAGTGGCTGCATGTCTGGAAGGTGACGAATCAGTGAGGATGTGGCTGGTTTACATATGTGGTTGGTTTGGTATTGTTTTTTTTTGTTGTTTTTTTTTGCTGTAATCAAGCTCTTTTAACCTGATCTTAACTTGGATTATATTCTGATGTCTTAAACTCTTTCTGGCTGAAAGTGGAGATTTAATACAGTGTAAAGTAAACAGTTCATAGCCTATTCACAGAGGATTTTACATTCTTTACTACGGGCAAAACTGAGGGCAACTGGCTTGGATCCCGGGCACCACAGTGGCCTCGGTTGACTAAATGTATTGGTTAAATCTTCAGATAGAATAAAATAAAGATCATTATCAGCCAGGCCGATTATTGGATCCGTATTCAGCATTATTATCGGTATTGCTAATATGTTTAACTAATCCCCAATAAAATAAACTAACTTAAATATTGTCTCTGATACAGCTGCCTTTTTCAACCTGTAGTCACTCTGTGGTCTTGAGTAATGTCTGGCCCACAACACTATTTTGCTGGTAAACCATGACTATTAAAACCATTAACCCATTAAAAAGTTATCTTTAATTATAAACAAAAGTATTTCAACTAAGTTCTGTATTTAAGTTTGTGTTATTCTGAAGGATTTTCCTTTTCAGCACGAATGTATGGCAGATACAGGTAATCTATTTCCAATAGTCTCTATCAGTTCCAGCCCTGAAAAAACTTTAGCGGTTGACCCCTAGACAAAAATACTATACTTACATACTTGGAAAACAAAATGTAGAAACATCAGTAAGAGTAAATTAAACAAAAACGGTGCAGCCAGAGTGTTGAAAAAACACAGGTGGTTTATAATGAGTCGTACAAAGGGAAATATTTGGGGTTTCTGCTATTAACAATCAGTACGAATCTAACATTTAGCTTTTGTAGATAAAAAAAATAAAATGGTGAGCTCCGTTAAAGTTGTAGTTTAGTAATTTTGGTGGGTGAAGGAGCCGCTAATCAGCACAGTGTATAAAAACAAACTTCGGCAATGTTTTCACTTGCTGTATGTCCTCCCCCTCTCCCGCTCTTATTTCTGTTTTACTTCTCAGTTTCTCCCTCTTCCCCCTTCTTTTTGCTAAATTAGTTTGATCTCCTTCTCGGCTTCCTTTTCAGTATTTGGGTATTTCCTCTCCCTACCTCCCTCCCTATCTCCCTCTCTCACTCTCTATTCTCTTCTTCTTCTTCTTCAGCAGCAGACTGCTGTCCCAGCTATCTCTGTTCTAGACTTGGTATGTTCTTCCTGTTAATGACGAGTATCCTGTCCCTGCCCTTACATCACTTGCTGTTTTCTGTCTGGGCTGCCCACCTGCCCGTGTTTCCTATCTGTCTCTCCCCACCCATCTGGACTACTGTTGTTGTTTCATTGGGGGCCGGGGTTATAGACGGGACCGGGCCATGATTAGCTACAGAGCAGCCGGTCATGGAGAGGCCGTCCTGGGATGCTTGATGTTGTTTGGCTGGGGAAGCTGTCCATCTCTTTGTCCACTCAAAACAACTGCGCGAGGGAAGCTGCTGCTTACCAAGATATAAATGCCGGTGTGTCATAAAAGCCAAAGAAAAGCAAACCTATCCACGCTTATAGAGTAGCAGAGCTCAGGTTGGTGTGATTCTTGTCAGCAGTGGTGTTTTGAGTGCATATCGAGGTGGCGCCTGCATGGCTGAATGCATCACAGGGGGCCTTCAGGTCGAGACCAATGCATGACAGTCCTGCAAGCCCCCTGCGCAGGGCTGCTTCATGATGTATTGTTGTCCATAAATCCATCCATCCGTCCATCCATCCATTTGTCTGTGACCAGCTGAGCTTCTTTATGTCCTTTCTTTAAAGGGTCTGTTCAACCGAATCACAAAAATGCATATTTTCTTTGTTATTTCTTGTGTTATCTGTCAGAGAGTTGGTTTGATCTAACCAAGTTATAGATATCCATGTCTGAGATGTCTGTCTTTACTACATAATACAGCAGAATGAATAACAAAGAAAGAAATGTGCTTGTTGTCCGAAAAGTGAAAGTAAAAATAGTGAAGTAAAATAAATACTAGTCAAAAAGGTATAAATTAAATATAGACAAATAAATACAAATAAAATAAAACATAAATGATATGTTTGTTTTGTAACATGTTTAAAACATATATAAAGAAAAAATGTCTAAAATAGCACTTGGTATAATAAGTACATAATTAGATTGAATGAATATATATAAGAAATAAAATAAATAATAAAAAAGTAAAACTACACAAAATAATGTACACAACACACATACATATGTGTGATGCCACCAACAAGTTAACATAGAAACACAACATACAGTTTCTTCTTGGACAAATACCACAAGAGCTCCGGACCGGATGTGTTTTTTTGTAATTTGGTTGAACTGACCCTTTAAGCAGCATCCAGCCCAGAGAGTGGCTCTGTTTGTTTTGTTTGTCACCATACTCCACTCGGTGTGTGTTGGTTAGTTTGTTGCTTACAGTTACTTCAGGTACGCTTGATTTATTCGCCTTCTCCTGCTCAGTGGGACTTTTAATGTTTTGTACGCATATTGTGAAACAAAATCAAGTACACCTTAAGTAGCCAAAAGAGGGACTCTCGTTGTTTTTGCTCTGCACCGTTCAGGTTGCTGTTGTTGTTGTTGCATGTTGGTGTCTGCATGTTCAGCAGTGTGTGTCTGCCTGTGCTGTGTGTTTGCAGTGCACTCTGCTCCTCCCCTCAGGAGCAGTCCTGTGAGACAAATCCAAACTACCTCACGATATACACAACATGTTAATGCACATTAGTATCCAAACAGTAAAACACAGCCAATAGGAATGTTCTCAGATTGTTTATGTATAAATGACAAAGAAATGATGATGTGCTAATTATGTCCTTGTTTGCATGTGTGCCTTTCGCCATGTTTTGTGTGTGTGTGTGTGTGGGTGTGTATGATCAGTTGCAGGACGAGGAGCGACGGCGTAAGCAGCAGCTGGAGGAGATTCGTAAGCGGGAGGCAGAAGAGCGAGCAAAGCAGGAGGAGGAGAGGAGGTGGAGGGAGGAGGAGAGAGCAAAGCGAGAGGCCGAGGAGAAGGTCGGTTTGTCTGTCCGTGAAAATGTTGGAGTTTACAGCTGATGAAAATGAATGATTCTAGGATGTTTAGGGTGTTTTGTTCTGCTGTTAGTGAGTCGGCCGTTACATGTCAGAGGACAAAACGAGAATCTAGTGGGGTTAGACCGATATGATGTTAGTGAGTGTTGACCAGGTAATGTCTGCACTTGGCCACCTTTCACTGTCTTTAATAGACCGTTTCTTAATTTATTTTAGTTTGTCAAGCTAAAAAATCCCTTCAAGTATATTTAGACCATTGATGATCACTACAAATGCCTTCTTAGAAACATGCCACTAGCAATAAGTGAAATTAATGTAATTTTAATTTGATATTAAAAGAGTAAGAATAACTAAATAGGGAGAAATAACTATGATATTGAGTTTAAATGTGCTGGTTGGTAGATTTTGTCCTTTTGTTTTTAGATTTTTGGACAGCCTGGCTCACTGTGTCCCCGTCGCTATTTTTTACACTGAGATAACTGCTCAGGCTGAATTATGATCCTACCACACCTCCATAAGGCCAAACACAACAAAAAGAACAGTTCATGTTTTTTTCAGTTTGCCATCTGTAATTATCTTGCTCCTCATTGTGTCGCCTATTAGAGGGCTTCTTTCCCCCACAGCCGAGTCAATCTTCAAGAAATTGTAGAAGCACGTTTTGCAGAAATATCTCAAACTAGTCCATTAATAAAGTTATGTTTAAAAGGCTTATACAAGAACTACTTTTTTCCTGTAGATTCTAATAATTACTTTGTAAAGAAGTGAATGAACATCTGTAGGAGCAACATGTAATCAGTCTGATACGTTAAATATAGCAGCGTACTTATAATATTCTAAATTACACCCTTGCCTGCTTTATTTTAGAGTTTTTTCACAATATTAAGCCAATTTCAGTCCAGCATATCGGTCTAACCTCTGAATGTACGGTGGCTTTGTCAACCATTCAGACCTGTTCAATTGGTGCATACTTTTTGATCGTATAAAATCCACATTTTGTGAGTACACTGGGGTTCTTTATACAATAACCCAGCCTGGAATGCCACCGTAAAAAGTTTAAATACTACTGTAAATAAGAGACTTCAGTCAGACTTCAGTGATTGTGTGTTTTCACTTTGTCAGTATGGGTTATTTTGTGTAGAATTAGTGAACCAAAAAAAAAAAGCAATGTTCCTCCATTTCCAACTGAGCCACTGTCTAGCAGTTTTTTTTTAGGGGAGATGAAATGTTACTTAAATGTGTTATAAAGTATTTTTCCTTTAAAACTGGCTTTATTTTTAAATGACCAGTGGTTTGGTCAGGTGTTCACCCACCCACCTCAGTCTTATGTCCTAAATCAGACATGGTCAGTGTTTTATCTTTGTGTTGTGTCCACTGATTTCATCATGATTTCATTGTTCCGGTGCATTTGTCCTGTGAGCTGCAGACCCCTGATCAGACCGCTGGTTGTTTAAAAGCTTACACCACCATCTGAAGACAGAATTTTTATACTGTTTCTCAGTATAAAGCCAGTCATTGCAGAGATTCAGCTAAAATAATCACTTTAATTATTGCTGAAGTTAGAAATGTAGCAAAGGGTTTTTCAGACAGAGCATGGTTTAGATTAAACGGTAGAGATTGTCTGGAGGTTGTTACGGCTGTTATTCTGATTCTATTTCTGTATGTTTATTATAAAAATGTCCAGTTGCATGTCCTCATTCTGTGTGCACCTCCCCCCCCACCCTATGTGATGTGTTGCTGTGTCATGTTACGTGCTCCCACCCACCTAAAGCATGGGACTCCCATCATGTCGTTGTTGTTGGTTGTTGTCGGTGTATGTCAGGAAGTTTCAGTTGTTTCAGTTCGTTGGGGAAGCAGTTATGATTTTGTCAGGTTTATATTTTATTTGGATTTTTTTGTTACCATTCCATCCAGCATTGCTTCGGAAACTGTGTTTAGGGAATGCTACCCACCCACCCACCCACCCAACTTTTCCCAAAACCACATGCTTTACATTCACTTCATGCACACACACATGCGAAGAACCAAAGAAATGTATACCTACCCGCCCGCCTCATACCCGCCCTCAGCCATCCATACTGTACATATTCAGAAACCCAACCACTCACTCATCCAAATCCCACACACCCACTAATCCCTCCCAGTTTCTTCAGATTCCCACTGGGCTGACTGAACCGTCCAAAGCAGCTCGGATACATCCACAGCAGCACACATTGTCTGTTCGAGGACACACACAATCTCGACTACACTCCGACAGACCTTCAACACATGAAACGGACCAAAAAATGTGAAGATAATCTGACATCAGACGCATCGACATTGAGCACATGTGACCCGGCGCGGCCCGTCGAGCTCCAAACCCTGAAATCTAAACACATCCCACCAGCGTAGCTTCAACACAGGCCTCGTCCTCAAGTGTAGATACGAGAGCTCAGCCACTGAAGACAGGGTGGGCTGGAAATTTAAAGGCCTACCCACAAACCATATCTTCTAAACTCAGTTTACACAAAGAACTGAGCACATATGGACACATAGTTTAAGCACACATGCAAACACCCAGTGATGAGGGAAGGGGAGAAGGTGGTAGGCAGGGTGGTCTGTGAAGCAGGGTCCTGTAGAAGTCAGCACTAGTGAGCAATCAGGTTTGTAGAAAGACTGCAGCAGTTGGAACAGTTTCTTCTTCCACATCGTAGAACAGTCAGGGGAGACTTCTCGGTTTGGCTGATGGACAGCATTATTATACTTACAAAAATACAACTTATTAGACTTTGCTAGTCACAGATAAGATCAGATGTAAATTGTACAACCACCAGGCTGTAACGGTGTCAACTTGTGGACAAGGCAAACCGGTTAGATCAAGTCCAGCTCAGGGGCTAATTGTTCTTAGATTTATTGGCGTGCTAAAGTTGATTAATGAAAAATAATAAGCTGTGTTGGTTTTAGGAAGTAAAGGTAGATATCCTTATGGTTTTTCTGGAACGCCTCCCTCATACAAATTGGAGCATATAAAATAAGGGAGAAAAGATAAAGTGACTTGTCTCCTTTTATATGTGTAGTTGACAAAAATAGTGCTGATAAATTTGCTGATCAGTTAATCCGCCAAACGTTTGCGTTTTGGTTCACTGATCAGACAAAACAAGCCATTTAAAGATGCCATATTTGGCTCTTGGCACCATCCAGCCCCTTCTGGCATTTGCTGACTGAATTGTTAAATCATTCAGATGAATTAAATTGATTTAAATGAATTTTTAAAAAAAAAACACAGATTAAAATAATAATCATCAATTTTAACTTGACACAGTTTTGTTAAATAATAAATCATCAAGTTACATGGGTAACTTACTGTTTCCATGTTTTCAGACAAGTGATTACATACTAGATATTATCCTGTTTATGTTTGAGTGAAAAATAGCATTTGATTCATGCCTTTAATGCATGATCACACTTAAAATACTCAACATTATCAGCACAAATTTTATTAGTGTACAGATTCTGAAAATATAATTTCTACCTCAATGTAAGTTTCAAAAACGTAATTTTTTTTGTTTGTTTCTCCGTAACAGCGCCTGAATATTTAAAGTATTTCATATTTTGGACAAAATGGACAGGAAAGTTTAAAATAAAAAAAAACAACAACAATCAAATACTCAAATTTACTTAATGAATTTGAAGGAAATGAAATTTACTTTAGAAAAGTAAAAACAACATGGCAACATATGATTAATAATCAAAAACTAGGCTTAAATGGGTGTTCATGTAGGACTCATAGTCAGATTGGAGAAAAAAAAACTAAATATATGATCCTTTTAAAATAGGTGCTTTGATAGTTGCCTTAATGTATATTTTTGCTTTAAATGATAGTATAGAATTAAGTCAGACTATTTTCTGATCGAGGCCCCTGATCGAGGACATTTGTAGACATCAGGCAGCTGCAGGCAGGATCAGGTTTAGTTTGTGTGAGAGTTTGGTCAGACTGGAAGGTTGGTCGAGGGTTGTGTTCTTCTCTAGTAGCAGCAGACTAGTGCAGCTTGTTGTTAGTCCCCCAGGTGCATCTGTAGCTGATTAGCCAATGAGGTTGAGGAGTACTAACAGGTTGTCCCTCCCCTAGAGGAGACAGGAGGAGGAGTACTACACTCGCCTGGAGGCCGAGCGGCGCCGGCAGCACGAGGAGGCCGAGAGAAAGCTGCTGACGCCTGACGACCCGGCCGGTCTGTATCGGCCCCCGCTGCCCCGGGATTACCAACCCCCTGCCCCCCACAACCCTACTAACACCCCCCCGCCCCCCCCACAGAGAAACACCTCCTACCTCAAAACCCAGGTCGCCTCCCCCGACACGCTCTACACCGCCAAGTTTGTCTCCTACGCGGGCGATGAGGAAGACGAGGAGGAAGGACAGGAAGCCACCAGAGCAGGAAGTGGCGGCGGCGGCCAATCAGGTCAGGTGAAGCTGTCGGCGACCCGGAAGTCGTACGGCGACCTCCCGGCCACCGCCTCGCAGCACAGCAAGCCTCAGCCGCCGCCCACTGCGCGCAAGCCCCGCCCTCTTTCTGACGGCATCTTCCTGTCTGGCTCATTCCAGCCGCCAGTCAACAACTCCAACAGTACAGGCCCCCCCCTTCCTGCCAAACCCAGCTCCATCCCCCCCGGAGGCTTTAAAGGTAGAACCAGAGAGAGGAGAGAGGAGTCAGGCTCGCCACCGCGCCCTCTAAAGCTCCCGTACCTCCCTCTCATCCACTCATCTCTTCACTTACTACCCACTTCTTCATGGTTTAGTGCTACTTTGTGTTTCTTTTTACCTCGTTTTTCAGTAGAGAGGTGTTTTGCCTTTTCATTTCCACCGTCTACTTTTTCCTCTTCTACATGTTTGTCCAATTTTTTGTATTTTTTTGTCGTCAATCAGTCCCTTCATTCATCCCTTTATGTTCGTTTTTTTTATATGTGGAAATTTCCCTCCCTCTCCTCAGGCAAATCCGATTGTATTTGTTTTGTACTTTTTTGTGTTGGTTTGTTTGAACACCTCTTCTTGTCTTCGGTGATTTTTTTGTTTTTGTTTTTTATTTTTTTCCCCTCCTCATCTTCCTCCAATCACTCCCCCCTCGATCAGCACTAGCGAACAGAAAAAGCAATCGATAATCACGCCACCACTTTTTGCTGCAGATTGAGACCCATCAGAGCCAATCATAGTACTGTTGGTGTTGTCGCTCGCCGCCTCCTTTGTGTCTGGTTGGTTGCTGCTTGGGATTGGGGGGGCGAGGCCAGCCGTCAGTCTGCCTGCCTGCCCCCCCTCCTGCCCCGTGGCTCTGCTTAGCGGTGTTGGCTTTAAAGGGAAGGAGACACACCATTGGCTTTTCACATCCATCGATCAGCTGGTTGAAAACAATCAACTCACTTCATAAACATGCAAATGTGCACACAGCAGCGGTGCGTTGGGTGAAAGAGCTCTTCTTTGTCTGAGGCTGTTTAAAAGGCAAGTTTAAATCCTCTGCTCATCAAGTTTCTTAGCTTCCTTTTCAGACCACACTGACATCTACAGGTAGATATGCTTTATAGCTTCAGCCATTCAAGGTTTCAGAGGTCATGGTCAGGCCACACGCCTTCTAAAACAAACTTATCATGAGTCTAAAGCAGTCGTTCCTAACATAGTTCAAATATTAAACAGACTATTTTTCTTGGTTTATCTATGCCAAATGTTATGGCAAGATCTGTATCTCTTCTTCAGCGGGCAACATTGTTGGAAAGCGATATCGAACACAAGAAAGGTCAGCCTACAGTCAGTACGCAGCTGTAGGGAATTATTCAGCCCTCCAGATAGCCAGCCATGCTTTTACCCAGATACACTCACTTGTTTATTCTGTATCCATTTATCCTGTCATATTTTGATCCTCTTTTTGTAAATGTTAAAAAAACGTGATGTCCAACCTGATAACTCAACAGTAAGGAATTGATCAGAAACAGCTATTTCACACAAAATAGTTTTTTATAATATTGTTATTTGGATCTCTAAAAATGATTTAAATGAAACAAAGCCCCCTAAATGAACAGTAGAGCAGCGATGATTGAGTGATTAATCAATTAGTCGTCAACTGTTTTGATAATCAATTAATCGATCTAAGCATTTTTTTAATGAAAAAAAGTTTGTTTCTGAAAGTAAGGAACCAAAACATGGTGTCAGTACTGAAACTAAGACATCACGCTGGTGTGAAAAAAGACCAACGAGACCGCCGCAGTTGTGAGTAGACTTATTAATGTGTTCATGACTTCGTGATGCTGTGAATCGCCGCAGTTTGAACGTCCTCAGACAAACAGAGCTCCGACTGCAGCACAGTCTCGAGTTGAACGAGTACCTGAGGTCCAGGAAGCGGCTGCCTGCACCTTCAACACCACCCTCCTCCCTCCATCCCTGCTGCTAATTCAACATTTAAACACATCCGGGACCTCATGGGAACTCGGTGCTGCATTCTCACTCAAATTAAAACGAATCATCCCACTAACGTTCCCTCTACCTCCCCCCCCCGACCACCCACCCCACCCCACCTCCCTCAAGAGTACAATCTGCATGTTTCACCTCACCATCACACGCAGCATAAACACACAACACTGCACTCTGGCTGCCAGCAGCTCACCCCAGTAACCGGCTTGATGTCTATTGCTTTTTACTGCCTGTGCGTGGCTTCCACCAGGCTGCACCCTGCTGTCTCTTATTTCTTTTTATTCATTCTTTGCTTCCTTTTCCCACTTTGCCTGTCTCTGTCTGTTAATTTGCTTTCCCTAAGTGCTTATTTTTACTCCCTGTTTGTGGCTTTGTTGTCTGTCCGTCGCCGCTCTGATCCGGCTGTCCTTCATTTTGCCTGTCAGTCTGTGTCTCTGCTGTAGCTGTGATGCTGCCTAACGCTGCAGCTTTACTAAAACCTTACTACAACTCCCACAGGGCATTGCGGCAGGTTCAGGTGACCAAGCGACACCTGAGTCTCCAGCTTCCCTGACAATACGAGTCTTCAAATGTATTCAACGAGTGCAATTTTGTTCGCTGGCAGCTCCAAAAGCTCGAGTCTGACTTCAATAAAACGTGGCCTCTTCTCAAATCCGAGATATTTTTGTAATCAGAATAAAACCACAAGAAAAACAACGCTGACGCCAGTTTGCTTCAAAAGGTGCACGAACTGGAGAAAACTACAAAGGCAGAACGAAATCAATTATCCCCAGAGACAGAGCATGTTCTAACAAAAGCTGTTGGTAGAGCAAAACAAGACAACAATGAGTTTTTTTAGCGTCCTCTGGCCTCCAAGATAACTGAACCAGAGTAAAAGAAAAACATTCACAACCTTTGAGAACCCATGGAAAGTCAGCAGATGACTTTTTTTTTTGTAAATCTGAAGGATTTTCAGTCAGAGTGCCAGAAGTATAATTTTCATCTCTTTTGGCTCCACAGAGGAATGTTACCAGCTTTGAACGAGGCTTGTTTCTCTGTGGTTACTTTGTTCTCTGCCAGTTTGTGTTTATGTGGTTTAAGGGCTGAAGTGGGACCCGGCTTGATCCCGTCCCAAACTACATTCAGATCTCCCCTCCTTTGGCTCTATAAAACCCAAAGAGCCTCAGAGCTGCCAGCTGGATGAATCCATCTGGGTTCACACCCTGTCACTGCGTCTGCGTCTGAACTGCACCAACCGAGCCACTGTTATTAATCTGAAGCACAAGACCTACATGGAGACCACGGTGATTTGAAAGGAGCTGGTCTCTTGTTTGTTTCCTGAGTCAGTACCTGCTGTCATCTGGCAGGATTTCACCACTGTGATCAGCCAAATAAGAGATACAAACTTTACCTTACTATTTGGATCCAGTGTTTCCTTTAATGAGCCATAAAGAGAATCAGGGTTTTATCCTCCAAGTTTGAACACTGTCCTAAGTTTTCACTCTCTGGTTGAAGGTGTGTTAGCAAATATGATTAAATATTGTAACAGCAGGAAATGGTTTGAACTTGTCATGAAAAGACCAACACCAACAGTCCGTCTCATAATACTTTCTGATCTCCCGAACAGACTGTTGGACCCGAGACAGTCGGTTCCTGCAAAAAGCAAATACTTAATTTCTAATTTTTCCTGTGGATTAACACACATTTGGTCCCACTTATCCCCAAATACACACATTAGGAAAATATTAACAGAGGTATCAATTGGTTCAGAAATTCTCACAGACTACGACACACTCTGACTTCTTTTTGCAACCAGAAGAGTCGCCCCCTGCTGGCTGTCACAAAGAAGGATCAGTATGTATTTAAAACATCTCAACACTGTCTGCTTTTATAATACAAGCTCAAACAAATAATCAGTCTTTAGATATGAAGTATTTGTTTGATGGATATACTCGCAGTTGTTTTAGGTGTTTTTAACAGTTGTGATCACCTTTAACCAGCAGGGAGGAACGGATCGTTTCTCTGCGGCTCATAAGCCATATAAATTTGCGAACCACTTGATCTGGTTCTGGATGTGATTCCCCAAATCGTCACAAGGCTCAGATGGTTTTAGACTATTAGGATTATGACCTCACGTGGCAGTTTTAGGCTCCGACTCATCAAGGCCAGGACGTTGATGCAGTTTGGAAAGACGCAGGGACGCATAAACAACTGATTAACATCTACTTTGGGGTTAAAGGTCGGGGTCACCATCTTCGTGTTCGTTCCACTGCCTCAGTTGAGCCGTCTTTTTAGCCAGAAATCACTCCCTTCACATGTATATGGGAGCGCTTTTCTTCACAGTCTGTTTGGAGGACAACAGGAGGCTAAACGTTTCATAAGTGAAATAGTAACAGAATGAGGAAGGTAGGTCTGCTCGGGTTGGACATGTTTGACGGTGACCTCGGCCTCACATCCCTCCAACACTTCCACAGACCATTGTGCTGCTTTGGAATGGCCCTTTAACAGCCTCTTTTTTTTTAATGCTGTTTTTCTCTTTCTCGGCTCGCTGCTCTAGTTTAAAGAGATCTGACTGTTTCTGCCTAATGCTTCTTCACAGCTCCTTCTCTTCCTTCCTTCTGCTTAGGCTGGTCTGTGGGAAATGAAGTGATGTCGACCGGAGAAGCTGCTGGGTTCTGGTCACAAAGGCTCTCTGATCAATAATCAATCCAGTTTGAAACAACTTCATTAACCCAAAGCGCAGTCACAGTGTATTCTTTAGAAGCGACTGCTCCCATTGGCTCCAGTAGCAGAGATCTTCACAGCCGTCACCCAGCAGCTTCTAGCTCAGATGTTTTCACACGTTGCAAAACTGCACGTGACCGATGCTGACTCATGTTTTGCTGCTCTGTCTGTCTGCTGTGTGACGACAAACAGGATTTAACTCGTACACTGGAAACTCAGCAGGAGTTGTAGGATCAGGAGAAGTCTACAAGGACCCGCGAGACAAATGGACGAAGAGGTGAGCACTTCACCTCAAAATGAATGTTCTGTATGCGTCGTGTAAGGGTTTCAAACCTTCACGTCAGCCGCTGTAACGCCGGCCGCGTGTGTGTTGCAGCCAGGAGCAGGAGAACTCGATCCCCAGCGGCGCTCCGGAGAGTCTGACCTTCAAGGAGCGCCAGCGTCTCTTCTCTCAGGGGAAGGAGGTTTCCAACAAGGTCAAGGCTTCTCGCAAACTCATGGAGCTGGAGAACGAGCTCAACACCAAGTAGACCCGAGCCTTTCACCTCCCAGCGCCACCTTAACACCAACATCGCCACGGTAACATTAAGGTGCTCCTGGGAAAATCCGGGGTCGAGAGAGCCGGCGCTCGCTTCCCTTACACTGACCGTCTCCTCCTGTTTGTGTTGTTTCTCCTCTCCCCCCCCCCCCCCCCGTTTTTTTATTTTTTTATTTTAATCATCAAATAACTGGACCGTTCACTCTTTTTTTTTTTGACGTAGCGATATCGTTGCAACAGGAGAGACATTTATGGCTTCAAAATTTCTTCCCCTCGTTAAAGTCTGTCAAAGATATATAATGATAAAGCACTGTAAAAAAAAGTTTTAATTATATCTAGTGAGAATTTGAGAATCACACGACAAAGGGGGATATATTTTTGTTTGTAAAATGGTTCTTGGGGCGAGGGATGGAGAAAGGTTTATTCTCATTTTAATCTTTTTTTAAATAGCTTACCGAAATATGAACAATTTTATGGTGTTATTTTATGCTCTTTTTTTTCTGCATCATGTTGTTTTCACACTTTTAATTCCTTCTTGCCAGCAGAAAATGCCCGATGTTGAGCTCCAGACCAATCTTTTATTTTTATTTTAATGTTTTTTTTTTTGTTTTTTAATTCTCAGTGAGTGGAAACACTGTTATTCATTCCGTAGCAAGGAAGCATGGGATTTCTTTTTCTTTTTTTTTTCTTTAATGTTTTAGATAAACTCTGAAAGATTCTCCAGAGGAGGATCGTACAGTCCAGAGAAGGATCTTTAAGTGCACAACATTACTGTAAATATTTGGGTCCACAACTGTCTCACTCTTTTACTACTGTAGAAACCTGCCAGGAAACTAAACAACTGCAAAACTAATGTGATTTAACAACATTTTGGTGACAGAAAAACCCCAACAAACCCCACTGCTTCTTGCCGTCAGTGGACTTACATTTTTAAATGTTTCTCTCCCCCAACTTGAGGTAATATTAATTTTATTTTCTTTTAGATGGAATAGTCATTTCTTTTGCAGAGTTGTGTGAGGTTAATTTGACTGATTGTAGCCTAAATTCAAGACAGAAAAAGGAACTCTTTCACTCACAATGTGATTAATGTTGGTTTTCACAATAATAATAATAAAAAAAAAAAGAAACTGCAACTACTCTTTAAGTGCTTGTTTGCTTTACAGATATTTATTTCGAACCTTGTGGAAAAAAAAAAACATACTTGCACAAAAAGTTGTTTTTACTATTAATATGTATCTGCAAACTGTTTGGAGAAGTGAATTACATTTGGGACCTCTCGTACTGTGGTAATAATCTGTGTTTTTCTGCATTAGAGACGGAAAAAAAAAAGTTCTGTTTTTACACCAGCTGTAGTCGGAGGGATTCAGATGTTTTGACAGAATTGTGACTGTACAAATATATATACACACAATTTCCATAATCTCACTCACCACCACTGCTGCTCTGCTGATGTAAAAGATAAAAAAAAAAAACAAAAAGAAAAAAAAATAAGCAGGAACACACTCCAGATCCCGGTGTGTCCCCGAGTTTTAGACGAAATCTGACAATAGTGACGTTTCAAATGTATCTCTCTTCTGCAGTTTGTTTGAGTGACTCCATCCTGTGTGTGGACTTCTTTTATTCTTCTCTCCAGGAGCCTCCACTAAAACTACATGACGAGATAAGACGCTGTTATTATAACTGACCTGTAAAAACACTACAAGACGTGTCTCCTCCTTCCCCCCCACAACAACAACAACAACAACTCCTTTTTAGGTTTCAAAATGAACTGAATCATTTAAATGGTTTCATGTTTAGCCTTTTGTAAATCATTAATAAATACAGATTTTTCAACAGTGCAGGCTGGACGTGTGGTCTTTTGTTAAGGTATTAAGAATGTTTTGATTAGTCTCATTTTCTAGGCCACTTTACAATTAAATGAAAAATGTAGAGGCTTTTACAGGGATTTCATTGCTTGAATGAAAAATAGGTTGTGTAGTTGTTGATTTTTGCATTTTTTGTTTACCATATTACATTATAAATGAGGCCACTGTACCTTGAGATATATAATAACACTTTCTAACAGGTAACTGCAGCTGAAACAAATTTCTTTACAGCATTTATTATAACTTGTACTTGAGTATTTCAATTTTAGCACTTCATACACATATCAGCTACTTCAAAAGAGGATTTTACACTCAAGAACTGATTTCGAAATTAAAAAGTAATAGCACCAAATTTAAATCTATCAGTGATGACAAAGCATTGAGTAATTTTAACTTACCATCTATGGAATGCCATATTATTCAATAATAAATACATCAGTAAATATTCTTAAATACAATAATTAAATAATATTTTGGGGGGGAATAACTTTTTTCATTTAACTTTTTATTTACTTTAGGATTTACTTCACCCATTCGCCCTCACAATATTATTTGATAATATAATTTTAATATTTTTTTGTATATTATTTTATAATCATATGTCTTTCTGTGCCCCCACTCACCCACCCCCATTATTGACGTAATTAAATGATAGTTGTCAGTACATTTAAAAACTGTTTATAGTTTATCGTTAATTCCAAAACGTAAATAAATGGAAAACACAGCACGTGTTAGCAGCAGTCCGAGGCCACCACGTGCTCACTGATTCACTGTAATTATGAGCCTTCATGACGACGTTTCCACCAAACATGAAGACGAAGACAAACATGGCGGCGTCACAGTACTGTAGCGCTGTCGGCCGTCGGGGCGTCTCAGCGCTGTACGATAGCTGTCGATATGAAATTAAGAATGTGCCTCCAGTAAACACACAGAAGGCGATGTAGCGTTCGACTTAGCTCATAATCACATCTTCAGACCACAAGTATTAACTGTCAGGATGGCCGAGCGGTCTAAGGCGCTGCGTTCAGGTCGCAGTCTCCCCTGGAGGCGTGGGTTCGAATCCCACTTCTGACATCAACCTTTTAACACACACCTAGTGGTAACTTTCTCACTGGCTGTGGGTCGACCTCCTTTTGGTGATTTGGGGAGAAACATGGCGTGTCATGTTCCTTCACTACCGAGAACGTGGGTTCTCCTCGAAATCACTTCACAGACTAGTAACAGCTGGAACGTCTCTATAAAGTTAAAGTGTAATCCTAGTTTTAATACTGGCTGAGTTCAGAACTAAATCTTTAAGGTAAACACATACCAACTTACGACTGTGACATGACTTACTGTTAAATAAACAATCCTAGCTCAGCAGCACCATCCAGTGGTGTAACATGGGAGTGCAGCTCATCTTCACCAGCGGTATCTTCTGCATTGTTGTTCTTTCACACCTGATTCATTCATAGTCCACCAGCAGCAGAGAGAACAAAAGTATGTGAGCACAAAATAAGTATCAATAAGGATTTATTTTTGCACCACAAAAGAGGCTTCAACTCAAAATCTGTTAAACACAGGTCACTAATTCTACAAAAGGTCAAACCAAGTGTTAGAAACACTGAGTTAGAAACTGGATTATTTAATGAGAAACACTTTTTGTCAAAGATTCAAACAACTCAAAATAAACAACTACACATGCAAATTTCCTATAAAGTTGTTCGAATTAATCAAACATTTCGTCTGCTACGTATTTAGACCACGCTTTTAAAAACAAACCATCAACCAAGTTTTTTTTTTTTTTGTGAACAATCTAAAGAACGATACAGAAAATATCTTAAACATCCATCAAAATATGTGTACTAGTCATGTAAAGACAACCGCAAAACAGAACAACCTCATATGAAGAAAACATCTCACTGAAGGCCTTAAAGAGACAAATCTGTTCACTAACTTGTTCTTTTTTAGACAAATGAAATGGCACCACATCAACAAAAGCACTAAAAAATATATGACGACAACAAACTTAGTAAATTGAACTGCCTAATGTGGAATCACTGCATCCAAGTTTAACCAAGCAGCCTTTACATCAGGAAACCAGTTAGAGAAGAAAAAAAAAAAAGACAAAATGACATGCTGTGAGTCGTTGTTACATCATGGTTACACGTGTGCAGCATGTGCGAGTAGCAAAATCACAGGTCAGGAGACCATCATGCTATCAACAGCAAGACCTGCCCTACACATGGCTTTGTCACCATTAGTAGATGTGCACTTGTGATTCGTCCATGGACTCTAAACTGGAGCAGAAAGCAAACATCAACTTCTGCGTCAACTAAGACTTGACTCCATGTGACGTACTCTTCCACCCCACGATGAAATTCAAGTTGGAGGGTCAGTGTTTTGACACAGCTCAGGAGATTCAGTGCTCATCACAGATGGTGCTCGACACCTTTACATAACAGGACAGGACTAGGGAGCGACACAAGCGGTGCAGAAGAGCTGGGTGCACGGTGCTGCAGCACAAAGACACACCACTTCAACAAGGACTAAATTTAAATCAGGTACAGATTTAGATTTCTATAGACAACACCGACTAGATCCAGACATTGTGCTGAGTGACGTCTTCCTCTAAGCTTCATCCGAGCCTTCCTCTTCTTGCTCATACTCTTCCTCACAGTCGGACCCTTGGGGAAGAGCCTTACAGGGACCCTGCTCCTGGAACCTGAAGGTGTCAGACATTTAGTGTTTCAGGTTTTGTACATTTACCTTGTAAACCCGCACACACTGTTATTGTTGTGGTCTTTAAAAAAAAAGGTGTCTTCATTAATGTGAAACAAACATTTAATCAGATTTGATCATATAGTATATTAAAGATGTACAGAGTACCGTGAGCATACCTGAGTCCTAGCATGACGTCTATGTAAGTGGCGTGTCCAGCATCCACCAGCTCCTTGGCAACATGGACGCCGTCTGCCATAATGTCCACCTTCCAGTGTGTGTCTGACACAAACTCTCTGAAGAAGATCTGGAGGTTCTTCTGGTACAAACACTGCTGGAAGAAGACCACCGCCTCATCGGTCCACTGTCCGTCCACTGCTACAGGCGTGACCCCTCTCAAGCTGCAGGGGTTCGTCACCTTTGGGAGGTCTGTTATCTCCACTGGTAGCTTCTTCAGCTTGGAGCAGTCGTCATGTGGCATGTATTCGTAATGGCCATAATCCACGAGGTTCAGGACCACTGTGGTGTCGGCATGTACGATTTCACCTCTGCACCACTCATTCCTGGAGTCTGATTTCAACAGGCAGCAGGTGCCAGGGAGAAGGTGGGCTTCAGGGAGAGAAGCCATTTGAGTGGGCAGCTCGTCCAACATGATGGACAGTCTGTTCCTGACAAGAAGCGAGTCTTCAAGAACAATGCAGAACTCAAAGGGAGTTATAACTGCAGCAGCAAAGCCAGAATAAGCTTTGTCTAAATCAACAGGCACAAAGGCAAGTTGCTGAGGAGGGCTCATGTCAGAGGTACATCCTTCTGCTTTGCTTTCATTTTGGGTTTCAGCAGGCGATGGGATCTTCTCTTCATTTCGCTGCGATAAGGTTTCCACATGTGTCATGAGGAACAGTCCATCTATGGTTATTTCAACCATCCAAAGGTTATCAGCTTCAGAATAACACGTAAAAACTACTTGTACTTCTTTGCTGATTATTGTTTTGAGGGTTTGACACCACAGCTTCTGAGTGTCTTCTCCTGCACTGAACCCCAAGTTGTTCATCTTGCACAACACTGCCAGGTTGGGGATTTGGGCCAGGTCGCTACACTGCTGTCGGATGGAGCCACTTGGAAATTCTTTTGTTACTCCATGGTCCACCAGGAGGGCTTTGTATGTCTGCTCATTGATCTGCTGAACAACACCTCTTTGCCACTTGTCCTTATATGTCTGAACTAAGCACTTGAGGCCTTGTTTGATATCCTCTCCTGCCAACGTCCTGCACTTATTTAGGTTGGTAGTGATGCAACTTTCTAGTGCAGCCAGCTGGTCAGTGAATCGAGTGAGTCTGACATAAAAACAGCCATTACTCTGGACTGATAGAATGGTTCCATTCTCTGTGTCTTTGGCTTGAATCGGTGCAGGTCGGAATACATCTGCAACGTTCCTCACTGCTTTGACAGAACAGGTTTTTGTTTTCCTATGAGCTTTTGAATCCCTCTTCTTTCTGGCGGGAGTCCCTCTATGACACCTGCAGGCTTTTACCTTCAGTCTAGGTATCAGCGTGACAGGTGGTGGTGCCGCCATCAAGTTTTCTCCTCCAACAGAAGGCATCGTTCCTTCAGATTTACTTCTTTCATTCTCAAACACTTCTTGTCTCTTTTCACAGGATCTCACTTTCTGCTCAGTTTCACATGAACTCATAGGAGACTCTTCTTCCCTTTCAGTTAAAGGGCTACTTTCAACAGCTGCTTCAAGTGCCATATTAAGACCATCTCCTGCATCTTGAACCTCAATCTTGACTTCCCATTGAGTTCCATTTTGCTGAACAAAGTCGACCATGAGCCGCTTCTCCATGACAGTGTCAGTGAAAGAAGCATCATTTCCATACATGCTCTTGTCCAACAGCGAACATGGTATGCTGAATCTTGGCTGACACAGATACTCCTCTGGTATGGAGTAAATCTTTTCTTTCCCAATGACTGCTGAGTTTCCATAGTCCACAAACTCAACTTTGACACATGAACTGGCTTCAAAACTCTTGACAACTGAACGATACACAGCGCCGTCCTCCTCGTACTCGGCCAAAACCACGTCATTGATTCTCAGAGATGTGGTCGTCTTCAAGGAAGCCCTTAAGATACTTGTGTTGAGATCGTCCCCCAGTTTCAAGATGGCAGGTTCGTCCTCTGACAGCTGCAGGAAAAAGCTGTTCACAGAGTCGATGTGGGAAGCGAAGCACTCTGCCAGGAAGCCTGCACTAACATTCTTGTCAGGCAGATGCGAGAGCCGGGTTACTTGTGTTACCCTGCTTTGTTGTGATCGCTCTGACTTTGCATCCTGGCACCCTCTTGGTTGTTGCACTGGAGAGTTTTTTAGAGGCTGTACTGTGGCACGGCTCTTTGATTTGTCCTCATTCTGTTGTTTCGCTTTTGTGTTCTTGTTCTGAGTTCTGCCATGAACCAGTTGTTTTGTGTTCTTTTCGGCACCTCTTTTGACATTAGATGTAGCGCAGCCTAAAGACTGCCCTGTTGGTTGACTTCTCCTCTTGACAGAAATATTTTTCCTGTGATGTTTTGTCTTTGTGCTGCTTATGTTCAAACTAACAGTCTTTGGTTTCTGTGAAAGATCAAGAATGAGCTCTTTCACCTTCTCATTGATGTTAACTTTTCCATCAAACAGCTGAACAACAAATGAACCATTTTCGCTCTTCTCAATGATCTTGACTGTCACTAGCTTGTTGAGGACTGTGTCGGTAAGCCACTCCTTGACATCTGCATAGGGCTCCACCTTGGACACTGAATCGAGGCTACATCTCATAGCCTGCATGGGTGTGTACAACAAAAAGCCTGAGTCCCTGGGAATGAACATGACATTGCTTTTCTCTACTATACTTGTGTTTCCATAATCCACAAAAAACACACTGAGATGCAGCGGCAACTGAACCGGATGTGTCAAGCCTCTGTACCACATGCCATTCAGGTATTTGGCAAGGCACAGTTTCCTCACGACGGCTCTCGTACTGGCTTGCATCATTTTTTCACTCTCCTCTGAGATGTTCTTCTCGAGCTCTTCGATGATTTCAGTGTTTCTCTCAAGATGGCAGTAGACCTCCCACTGACTGCTGACATGGGTGACGTAGACGTGTTCCTCATTTCCAGGTCTTAAACCATATGAGGAGTAGACAAAAGAGTCAGGAAACACTGTTAATGGTTGCTTTGTCGACACTGTCACTCTGCTTGCCAGGCCCTGTTCTAGGAGTTTTTTTGTGACGCTCTGCTGAGTTTGGATGTTGTAGAGATCCACAACATTGCACAGCCCTGTGTTTTTCACATTTAAGTGAGAGGCAACTCTACATTTTAGACTACTGCCGCTGTGGAGGACAAAGACTTTCAGCAGGTTACAAACCTCTGGACTCCAATCCCCACAGTTTTTTGGGTCAGCAGGTTTGATGAGGTTGTCAAGGCGACATCTGAAAGCTTGTCCTTCCAAAGAAAAATATTCAGGCATGATTGCCTGAAGACTGTTCTCACTGATTTCAACAGTACGGCCATGGTCAACTAACACTATTTTGGCGAGACCTTTCTGTTTTTCTATGATAAAGGCTCTGTACCACCTTCCATCACACGGTGACTGGGCAACGCAACATGAGTCTCCTGACCGGAGGGGGGCTGTATGAGTGGAGTAATACTGCTGCACTTTTTCCATCAGTTCCTCCAAAGCTGGAACCTTATCAAGAGGCTGGCACCAGAAATCTGATGGAGAGCTGATGTAGGGGCAGCGCACGGCAAACTCACAACCAGGCTCGATATTTAAAGCTTTGAAGCTAGCAGGGGCTTGATCTTTCTCAATTTCATTTCTGCATGACTTCTCTTCCTCCTCACAATCCGACCACTGCTCTGTATTCCCACTGATGTCCATTGTCGCACTGCATTGTGGGAGCCTCGTGTTATTCTGCACCACAGGCTCTATGGGAATGTATTCAGCTTGTTTGGAAGAGATGAGGAGCTCAGTGATGCTCCGACTTTTGTCACCTCCCATCTCAAAGAGGTCAACAACAAGTGTGTTTTTTCTCATCTGAACAACACGGACCAGCAAAGCTTTGTTTGTCACAATTTGCCTGAAAAAGTTTAAGGCGGAGCTGGTCCAGACGTCTTCCAAAGGAAAAACATTAACAAGAGAACAACACATGGCAAACGGCGATTTGCTGGCAAATGTCTCAGGTATGTTCTTGATCAGCATGCGTGGCACTTTTTCAATGTTCCCAAAATCAATAAAAAGAACTTCAGCTCCATGCTCCAGAGTGTCTGTCACCACGCCCCTGTAGAAGTGCATGTCTTTCTCATAGACTGCACAGCACAGTGTCCCAGGCTCAGGATTCATCAGCACATCTTCATCCAGCTCCGTTTGACTGAAGTGTTCCATCATTTTTGTCGTCATTTCTTCAAACTCATCGTTGCGTTTTTGGGTTCTGATCCAGAAGTGGTTTGGGTTCCCGACATGCTCAACATACCCAACAAAGACCAAGCCCACCTGGACCTCTTCTGCTTTCAGCGTCTTAACCAATGCTTCACCCACGACTGTCTCGTAGTGCAAACAGCCAGCCTGACGTGACGGTTTTGTGTCCAAAACTGTCTCAGCTTTGAATGTGCAAAGCTTCTGGATGGGCTCTGGTTCCTTCACATTATTATCTGTCAAACCGATTACAGTGACAGAGTACAGATGCTGCTTTTCATCAAAGCCACTGATCTCCACATCTAACATTCCACCAAGCAAGCCCGCCTTCAGGAAACTCAACTGCTGGGTTTTGAGCACATGATCCTGATCAGTCAGGGAGGAGAGCGAGCATGCGAATGCCATGATGGGTGTTGAATGGAACTCAGGTGGCAGCCTGTGGATGTTCTCTACTTTGACGGATTCAAAGAATCCATAGTCAATGAACAAAACCCGAACCTGAGAGTTGACTGAGAGAAACTGCACAAAGCCTCTGTACCATTTCCCATCTTTGCCTTTAATAGAGCACAGCAAACCCAGGTTCTCTGGAGTCTTCTGGTTGCATTCCTTGGTTCTGGACTCACAAACTGCAGCCAACTTCTTTGACATTTCCCAAAGATCTGCTTCCATGCTCGCTACTTGACAATAAAACAGCCCGGGGTTGACAGCAGCAGTTACTCGCACTTTAGCTTGTGTCCCACAACTCAACTTAGGTCCACAGAATGACAGAATGTCCTCATATCCCTGCAGACCTGAGGATTTGAAGTACATTTCTTGTCCTCGTGGCTTTTGAATGAGTAAGTCAGGAACTGACGCGATGCTTTGTTTGAGCGGCACCTCTGTGAGCATCTCAACCAAGAAAAGGAAGGTATCTGTGTCCACATGCCTCCCAAAGCCATGGCGCACCAGGTCACTGTTGATGTCAGGGACTTCCAGTAAGAGGACTTCATGACAAAGGAGAGCTTGAATGTAACCTGCAACATTTCTGCCAATCAAGCTTGAGAGATACACCTCCACTACAGAGTGTGGACAACTCTGAAGGAGAAGCACATTTGCAAGAAAGCCGCAAACTATTTTTGGAGGCAGAATGAAAAAATCACCTGAACAGGAAGATATGTGGGCAACGTCCACACTCAAGACGTTACCGTGATCTATGAGGAAAACATCAAACGAGTCCTCCTTACGGTTCTCAACTCTACCTCTGAACCAGCGAGCTGAAGTCAAGTCTTCTACAAGGCAAAATTCTCCCACGTCCACCGCAGCTTCAGTCTTTGGGGCATTCTGTATTTCTGACTGCAAGATGTTATAGTCAAGTTCACATATGGTAAGGTGTTGTCCCTGGAAGTGTATCAGGGTTGCTTCTGGATTCCAGTCCAGGTGAGTTAACTTGAGGTCCACTGGCCAAAGGGCACATGGTACCGATGGACCTGAGTCTTGTGACCTGTAAATTAAAGTGGCTTATGTTACCAACCTTCATCCGTCCATACATACATACATAGCTGGTGCTTGAGCATATTGTTCATTTTTAGATGATTAAAGGGCCGTACTGACTGGCACTTACACTGAAATTTACTTTGTTGTTGCATCTACAGCAATTTATAAAAACTGCTTAAAAACATTTGCCATAATTTGAACAGAAAGGATTTTCAAATGAATACGGGACATCAAATAACTCTGATATTCACGTGTACATTTTCTTTATCCAGAAGCTTCAGCTGTCAGTATATTAACCAGTCACTAAAAAAAGCCCAGATTCTACTCCATGAAATTCACAGGAGCATTCTTGCATCTGTACAGTTTTGGCAAATTGTTTTACATACTTCTGATGTCCAGAGTCCAGCACCGGCTGCATGGCAAAGAATCAGGAACAGTCACATCCCAAACAGAACCTGAGGGGAAAAAAGGTTTCAGTGTACTTACTATCATATCATCATCATCATCATCATCATCATCATCACCACATATATGTCACAGTCCAAATTAAAACCCAAGTGGATTTTAAATCTGCCTAAACCAGATTGAAATTCTGATGTGGTCTAGGCAAGATATTGAAATTTTGATTTGAAATCTGTCTGGGCACAACTACACTTTTGATTTCATCTAGACCAAATGAAATCCTTCTAATATCATAATGAGATTGTAATCCTGCCTGGGTACATTTTAAATCTGCCTCGGCAGAATTAAAATTTTGATTTCATCTAGACCAAATTGAGGTCTTTACTATAACAAATTCAGATCATAAGCCTGCTTAGGCAGGTTTAAAATTTGACCACACTAACTTAAAAATTAGAATTAAATCAGAATTATAAGATGGATTTCACCTAGACCAAATTAAAATCATTCATATATATGGAGTGTTTGTACCAGTTTAGTGTGACTGTTGGACAAAGATGTATCACAGCTCTTCATATGTGTTTGAATGAACATGTTGGTGTGACCCTTTGGTGGTTACAGCATTAAAGAATGTGAGCTTCACACCGTGGTGAAGTGTGGAGATCATATCATTTGCCCGGGCGGGATTACAATCTTACTATGATATAAGAGGGATTTTAATTTGGTCTAGGTAAAATTAACATTTTAGTTCTGCCCTGGCAGATTTAAAAGACCAAATCAGAATTTTAATCTGGCCTAGGCAGATTTAAAATCTACCTGGATTTTTAATTTGGACTGTGACATATATACTAAGTGTGCAAATCCGTAATGAAGCAAGGCTGTTCACTGCAGAATAAAGGTCACAGCAGGATAATAGGGACGTGTGGCCCCATACTGAGTATCTGCATCTTCTACATACCGCTGGCCTTTCATCACCTGTTTAAAAACTAACATCCAGTTTCCAAGACATGGATTAACCCTAGTCCTCAACTTAAAGAAAACATCAGTCAAGGTCTCCACAGGAAAAGAAAAGAAAAGTAGGACTACACTTAATCTGTGAAACTGAGCCTGAGAGTAACTGTACAAACTACCAGCTGCAGCCCCGCTTCACTGCAATCAACAAGATCTACAGACAGGGTGATCCTCTCATGGAGCAGGTTTGTGAGACTGGATTAGCTTCTTTATGCACAAAAGCAGGCGATATGTGGGCTAAATAAACTGTCTGATTTCCACAATTAAAGTAAAAAACGGAGTTATATCTTATGTAAATCTGATCACGGAGCTATAATACACGTGTTGTTAGATTCAGTCTGACTCGGACGTTGATGCAGTTTTATAATATCTGATCCACATAGACGTCTAGGAATAACAAAAAACGCATTTTATAAGCTCAGAATTTGCCTCACTTTTTTTTTTTTTTTACACTGTGTTCAGTGTCACAATAATCCACCGGCACTTATCGACACATCCAGTGGTTCACACTAATCAGGAGCCGCTAACAGAAGCTGACTTCATGTTCCAACAGGTTAGCTCATACAGGCTAATGACGACGTTTACAGTAACTCTCCGTCTGGACAAATACAGGCTCCACACGAACATGTTCTCACGCAACCTGAAGTCTTTACAAGCTATTAAAAATAAATATCCAAACTATTTATTTATCTATGCGAGGTGAATTTATATAAATGTCACGAAAACGTCAACACCGAAATGCGCGGCTAGCTTCAAATTTTAGCATTCCCGCTAGCTTAAACTTGAGTCTTGCTACGGAGTTAAAATTAACATTTAAAATGTAGAAACCTGACAAACCGCCGTTGCCTTGAATGAACAGTGAGCAGGAGGCCTGGCTGATCTTACCAAACGTGACTCAGCAGAGTTTTTTCATGGCGGTGTGCTTCGACATTGAGCAGCAGTTAGCCGCACCAGAGTTAGCAAAGAGCCGACACGATGTGGAGGCTAAGGTCATAGTCGGGTCTACATCAGGCTACAGTTGGATGGTTTTATCTCAGCTTAACCTCAGTGACTGAGAGCACCGATCAGCTTCAGACATCCTTCTGACTACAGTTACCTGGCTCATATTGATGCCTGTTTCCTACCTTGTGTACCAGGATGCTGCAGTCCTACTACACGTGTCTGATGTGAGCTGCTGGGCGCCTCATGGAGCTCCACATCTGATCTGTGAAGGATCGAGACCGTCCGTGTGCTCCAGTCTGGTATGATCTCAGATGTAACTATGATGCTGATTTAACTTCATGCTAAAATACTATACTTTTGATTTCGTCTAGACCAAATGAAAATCCTTCAAATATCATAATGAGATTGTAATCCTGCCTGGGTACATTTTAAATCTGCCTCGGCAGAATTAAAATTTTGATTTCATCTAGACCAAATTGAGGTAATTATTCTAACAAATTGAGATCGAGGTTTAAAATTTGACCACACCAAATTAAAAATCAGAATTAAATCAGAATTATAAGATTGATTTCACCTAGACCAATTAAAATCATCCATATAGATGTAGTGTGTGTACCAGTCTTGTATCACACCTCTTCATATGTGTTTGAATGAACATGTTGGTGTGATCCTTTGATGGTTACAGCAGAATGTGAGCTTCACATCATGGTGAAGTGTGGAAAAGCAGCATATTTTACATTGATACATGTGTTATTTTAAATATTCTTGCATATTGCAGTTTGTCAGTTCGTCCATCATGACAAGATTAATTGGCAGCAATCTTTAAAATCACTGGAAATTTGTATTTCTTTCAATTTCATCCCCGCAAAAATGTCAGATATTATCTAACTGTAGTTACTTAACTGTCCAAATGTGATGTTGCGATTTGCTTAGATAATTTTTTCCCTCATTATTAACATCCTTAGCTTTAGTAAACTGTAATAGGCATGTGTTTTTCTACCATTTTGTGACATTTTAAACCATTATTTGAGTACCCCCTCCTGCAGCGCCCCCTGCTGTCTGGATACTAGTGTTCAAGTTGCCCATTAACTGAAACTGAGAACTACAGAATATCACACAAATGCAGCTGTAAAAAAAAATAATTAGCAACTTGTAAGCCACAAATATGTGAAGTTAGAAGTTTATAAGAGCTGCTGCTGTTTTTCATAATCACTGGATGTATCCTCTTGACAACTAGGATGCACCACTTTTACATAATAACCTGAAATCAGAATCAGGACGGATTGATTGCTGTATAAATACAGCAGGAGTCATGAAATATGAAATGTAAAGAACTGTACGGTCTGTGTGTTTAGCAGGGTCACAGTGCAACACAAGATAATTAAGTACTAATGAATTCTTTCAAAGAAAATTGTGAGTTCAATGCTCTGTATTTGTATTTAAATGAATAAATTAGGTAATATAAGGTCATATTAGGTAAATAATACTTTGTAACTAACTATTCCTTTTTCCTTTTTCTTTCTTTAATCAGGAAAAAAGTCTTTTCCCATTTAAAATGCACTCCTAAACAGACTAACACACGATAATGTCCAGTCATGATGCACACGCAGGCCTTTCAGCTCTCACAACTGTCCAGATAAAGTGACAACAAGCTGGACTTAAATCTGTGTGTGTTCATGTGTATTTAACCCTGTAGAAAGGGCCAGCTGACTGTGGGAGGTAGGATGGATGGATGGACAGATGGATGAGGGTTTTTCTGTTAATCATTAATAAACTGGATTAGCCCCAGTCTTCTGTAAATATGATGAATGCATCCAGGGCTTCATTAGCTCTGCCTTCCCACAGCACAGCCTTACTAGTCTGAGGTTGTTCCGTCAGCACAGAGAAAACCTCAGAGGTTTTTATTTCCACTTTTCTTGTCTTAGTAAAACTGTCCAACATGCTGGACATGATGTTTGTTTTTACCTTTTCCTGGACCTGAGTGAAGGAGGGATCAACAAACTATGTTTAAGGATTAATTTGAGCTGCTTCAAACTCTGTAAGGATCTGATCTTTTCCATCCTTCAGTTTGTTATTTTGTCTTTTTTTTTTTTGTTAAATCTTTGGTTGACTTTTAAACATTTGACGTCTTTTCGGTCACGATGCCGATGAAGCGCAGCAGTGACAGTTCAGCCGGAGACGGCGTGTTTCTGATCCACTCCTTCACTAAGACTGTGTGCAGCTCACCAGAGGAGACGCACACAGACTTTAACGGACAGACGCACTTTCATCAGGAGGATGATTCTGGGATTAAATCAGGTAATGGAACATCTAATGTATGAATCATGCTGGGAGTTCAGACTTTATTTATTTTTATATATCATTAAGATTCCTATAACATTATCTCCTGTATCTTCTCCTGTTTACCTGATGCCATCTCTCCCAGTCTGTAAATATGAATGTGATTCTGTGGATGGATTGGAGATGGACTCAGGTGATAAAGTGACACAAGTCGGCCACACGGTGGCGCTGCAGCAGCACACTTCACTGAACCCACTGCAAGGTTCCATTTATTTACAGCACAAACTTCTTTGGCCCTCGCAGGTGATGACGAGGACACATAAGCAACAAGGAAGATGTGATTTATAAATGGATGAAATGCATCTTTACATTCAGACGGATAGCTGTAAATGTGGAATGTGAAGCTTAATGTAAATATTTTGCAGACGTTGATTTATATATAAATCTCAGCAGTTTTAGCTTAAATGACCAAATGGGAACTTTTCTTCTGGTTTTCAGCTAAATGTCTTGAGAGATGCACGAAAAGGAAGACAGATCACATCAGACCTATTAAATATAAAATGTAAACAGTGTTTTGGTTGAACACTGTTGTCACAAAGGGCTGTTTGTCAAATGGGGACATCAGACATTATTTTACCTTTTTTTATTTTAAGATGTAGAAATAAAACAGTGAAGGAAGCTTTTTATGGACACCGGGTTTGGTTCCTAAGACTAATGGCTTCATGTGACTCTGTTTATTACGTGAAGCTTTTCTTTCATTTCTGTCCAACTGTTGTCAAAAACCTTCTGATGCTGGACTTCAGAAATTGCCCCACAAGATTGTAGTGTAGTTGTAGTACCAAAACAGATGATTTTACACTATCTGGTGCATATACTGATAATCTATGAGCTCCTGAAGCGTCTCATTGCATTTCTAAACACCTTATTCATTGTACCTTGTGTGTTTTTGTGCTGTTTTTCAACTGAGTTTATTTAATTTAGCTTGTTCGACACTTTGTCATTGTCTGATTAGTTGCAATAACTATTTTCTTCACTTTTATAATCATGGCACGACATTAGAAGTGTTCAGGTTTGTCTCCTTTCTTGCTGCAGAGTGTCTTCTTTTCAAGTTTGTACAAAAAGAAAAGGAGAAAGAAAAACAAGCTCTTTGTGGCTAAAAAGCAATTAAAACATTCCTATTGAGCACAATAACAACAAGTCTTTGAATAGCTGTTCCAGCACACTTCAGGAAATAATGCTCCATTATTTGATTCCTTTTAACATTGCTCATATACTTTATTGTTTGCTGTGTGCACACACCCGCGGACGTGATGAAGTGATGAATGAAATCACGAATCACCTTCTCAAGGTCAGAAAAAGAAAGTGAGTTTCTTCTTCCTCTTTCGTATCGCAGCCTGTCTTTAGATTAGAAAATAAAGGCGTATTTCACAAGAAGAACCTTGAGACAAGTAAGGAGTCACTGAGGGGTTAAGAAGAAACATTGAAACCGAAATATAAATCTGAGAATTACATAAAAAATATTCCATTAGTAAAGATTAGTATAATGTCTGATGTACGAGCAGCCTGTCAGATATACAGGCATGAACTGATTCAAGGTTTTATAATGGATACAGAGAGGATGAAGAGTTTACAAAACCGGGTTGGTTTGTAAAAGACTAAAAGCAGCATAGTTTAAATCAAAGAACTCTAAAACAAAACCAGTTCTATGTATTTCCAGTTATTCTGATCACAGGATCTTACAAATTATGGTAAGTAGTGTAAGAACTAGTAGAGTGTTTTTCTGTTCAGACATCTTTTGTGCACTGCTGCTTCTACATATGAAGAGCTAATTTGCAAAAACAGACAACTCCATCTTGGGTTCTCTCTGGGTTCTCCGGCTTCCTCCCACAAGGTCCAAAAACATGTTGAGGTTAATTGGTGATTCTAAATTGTCCGTAGGTGTGAATGTGAGTGTGCTTGGTTGTCTGTCTCTAAGTGTAGCCCTGTGATGGACTGGCGACCTGTCCAGGGTGTCCCCTGCCTTCACCCTGAGTCACCTGGGATAGACTCCAGCCCCCCGCGACCCCAATGAGGATTAAGTGGTGTATAGATGATGGATGGACAACTCCATCTTCACAAACCTTCACCACTTTTCCATCGTCTACCTGAGACAACATCAATCAAACTCAAGTTATCTATATTTTTGTCATGTTGTTCCAACAGGATCAACTTCAGTTTAATTGATATTAACTCAAGCAAACAACAAAAAAAAAAGTTTTCTGAAAATCTACAAAAATGGAGTTATCTGTTTTTGCAAATGAACTCTTCGTATGTTTAGGAGGGTGATATGGAAAGACCAGTATATGTGTAAACTATAGTGGATAAAAGCAAAATTCTACAAGGGAACTGGTGTCGGCAACCTTTTTCTTGAATATTTCTTAAATTCATGCTCTGCAAAAAAAAAAAAGTACACCTCCTGTGAACACTGCTCTCTTGTTTGTCTGTTTCAGAAGCAGAAGACAGTAACGAGACGCCGTCGTCTGAGGACGATCTGGTGGACTTAAACTCCGACCTGACTATCAAACAGAGCATCACTGCCTCCAGGAAGACCATCAGTCAGATCATCAAGGACAAGAAGAAGCAGACCCAGCTCACTCTGCAGTGGTAAGATGACCGGCAACGCTGAAGGAACTAATATCCAAGATTCAAGGTTTTAGCGGTGACATCCAGTATCTCTACCCAATATTTTTGTTATTGTTGTTTGTATCACAACTGCTTAATTCACTCCCTCTATCCAAAATGCTGTTGAGTGGTGGAACTACTACTGGGCTGTGTGACTGTGTTAAATTTCCTATAAATGGGAGCATAATTTACTAAATGAACATCATGCTGTATTCAAAAGCTGCTGAAACTATTGAGTGAGACTGTATACTCTTTAGAAAAATGTTTTCTGAGGTAACAAACCAAGTGAGAAGAGCAGCGACTTATCATAGACTTCTATGCAATCAGACTTCTCTTTGCAACAGGAGGAGGCGCCCCCTGCTGGCTGAAGCATTTTTGACTGCCATCTTTAGAACCAGAGGCTACGTCTACGTCTTTGGTCAAGCTTTATGTATTCAGAAAGTCTCACTGAGATCTCTTTTGTGAGAGAGGCTTGAGAACAAATCACATAAAAGCAAGTAAAATACTCCATCCACATTACTATCATACACACACATAGCAAATATAAATGTTCACAAAGATTGTGGAAAATATGCCAGTAAAATCTAAAAGTCTCTCAGAAGAAAATTCTGCTGCTGTATTTTGAATAGTATCATTCCATTCTACATCAAACTGTACATACATTTGAAAGCTCAAAGCCTCATGATTCGTACGGTATAAAGTCTCTTAACATACCAAGACCAAAGCAACAATAGCTGCAGCCGTACTTCCTCACACTGTAATGTGTGTGTACATAGCAAAATGATAGTTTCTTACCTTTCTGTCATCTATAGGGTGCATACTTGTTGAATCTCAATGTGCTGCACACTGTAAAGATCCAACAAACAAGTTATTTATCTTATTTGGTTTAAAAGAAAAGAAAAGGAAAAGTGTGGATGTAGTCTGCCTCTAAACACAGAGTGTTTGTTTTTTAATCACGAGTATCAGAAACATTTCTTAGAAGTTTGTTAGGTTTTTCCTCCATAAGCTCCATCCATTGCTACAGTTGCTATAACATAATTCAATGCATCAGATTGGGACTGTCAACACAGACACCACATATAAACTTCTGTGAGATAGTGAGATTTACTGCTGCTGCTGATTGAATGATAAGCATTGTGTGAACTTGTTTGTGACAGGCTTGAATGTAACAAACAATAATTTACTTGTAAAAGTCCTTGGAAACATGCCAAGGGTAGTCGCTGAAACATGATCATACAGGCTATTAATTACCTGTTCAGTGCAGTCATGATGGTGAATTGCATGATGGTTTTCAAAGTGAAACAATCTCTGTTTTGGTATAAGACTCCGGTTTGAATTTTTAGGTTTTGACGTTCAGCAAGAGTTTTGTCAGGTTGGCTGCTGTCTGTCCAAGCTCCAAAGTATTTAGAATGTTAAACTGGATCAAATAGATTACACTCTGAAGCATGGATGTGATTGGGAACATCAACCCTATTCAGGACTTTCATTCAGATGGATAGCTGCAGAAGGTCTTTCTTGGGGTCCATTGGGCCCCAAAAGTCCTGAATAGGGTTAAAACTGCAAAAAGCCTTGAACCTACAAAGTTGCATCATCAGCATATAAATTGACATTACAGCACTAAATTGGAAAATAAAAGTTCTTGATGTACAGAGGAAACATTAGCGGCACTAATATTGAAGCCTATGGGTCTTTTTGTTTCACTTATGTGTTTGGTCGCGGTTTTCCAGATCAAGATTATTTCATGTAAAACATATGAAGAGCATATAAAATATCATCCTTTGTTGCAGTTGACACTCCAACAATATATATTTCAGTCTTCTTTGGCCTACAGTTATTTTACATATTACTCACGAAGCTGAGTTTTTGTCTGATTGGTGCATGTGAGTCTAATTTCCTTTTCTGGTGATTGTTTCTACTTTGTTTCCTCGAAAATATAAAGCTGAGTCATGTGTTTTCCATCAGTTGTATTTTTGCTGTGGAGCTCGAATTTCGCAGGTTTGTGTGTTCACTGTGTTCTCATATAGTGTCCTGATAATTCCAGGAGTGATTTTGTGTCTCAACAGGCTGGAGGAGAATTACATCGTGTGTGAAGGAGTGTGTCTGCCTCGATGTATCCTCTATGCCCACTATCTGGACTTCTGCAGGAAAGAGAAACTTGAGCCGGCCTGCGCTGCTACATTTGGAAAGGTGTGTTTCTTTTCTCCAAGTTTTCATGTAAAATCTGACACTGATGTGTTGCGTTAGTTTTGTGTAACTGATCTACCTGAACATTTTTTCTGTTTCTTGTTGTGCACTGTTAAAGAAAATAAAACAAAATACAATGCTTTCAGTATTAATTTTTTGGTCTAAACATTTACTTTTTGGTTATCTCTCAGTAAAAATGTCTAAACAGTATATATGTTGGTTTTCCAATCCTCATACACATCAACAACATGACTGTACAGGGACAAACACTAAATGCAGTTCATTATGATGGCACAGCAGAATCTTAATATTGATTTGATTACTTGCTAATTATCTGCTCATATTGATTGTTTGGTTCTCCCTTCAGACAATCCGGCAGAAGTTTCCTCTCCTGACAACAAGAAGACTGGGCACTAGAGGACACTCCAAGTAAACCCAAACTTTACTTACAACCATTTAATTCAAACATTGGGATCCTTAGAGCACTAAAATGTCTGATTCAGACATTGATTAATGCAACACAAAAGTAATGTTTGTACTTGATGATCATTATTTGACAATATTACCTTGTCATTTCACAGATATCATTACTATGGAATTGGCATCAAAGAGAGCAGTGCTTACTATCACTCCGTGTATTCTGGGAAAGGTTTGACCAGGTAACATTTACAGCTTGATTCCCTTGTTCTGAAAATGACTCACTACTGTTTTTTATTTTAAATCTTTAAAATTAGTATTTTTTTTTGTTTGTTTTTTAGAGATACTACCTGACTTGTCATAATCAGTGCTGAAAAACAAAATAATCATAAAGAAAACAATATGCTGTTATTTAAAAGCAATGAACTTGTGCTTTTGTTATGCTGGTGTTGAAACTTTTAGCTCATGGTATGTCGCTTTATTACACAATTCAACCATCTGTAAGTTTACACACAGGATTAAAAAAAAAAAAAAGAATTGTTAATCATTTAATTCTAAAATCAATCTGTTGTATTTTGATTGCAGATTTTCAGGGAGCAAGCTCAAGAACGAGGTAATATATATTCCTAATTTCATAAAAAAATGTCATAGGAATTGCAATTTCTGTCTTATTTTCGGAGCACTTCGGGACTTACGAACACAAGTTTCTCTGAAAGTTGATTCAACTAATGAAATGAAGTTTCTAAAAACAATCATTGGGATATTAGTAGACATTGAACATGCAATTTTGTAGAGAGTTCAAACCTTTGTACCCTAAACTTTTGTTAGTGCAACTACACTACAAGAACAACAGTGCGCATGCTAGGTAGTAGTGTACATTTGCAGAATACATATAGTCGATACCATCTCTTGTGCATGTACGGAAAAGAGTTGTATAAAAGGGTATATCTTCACCCAAACTGAGATCATTTCCTAAACCTAACCAAAAAGTTTTGTAACCACGTCTTGGTACCTGATAATGAAACTTAACAATAAGTTAAACAAAGATGCAAGTCAAACAGTAATACAAAACTCATGGCAATACAACAGTTCCTCTGTATGCACAGCTTTGGTTACTGGAAATAATCTTACATGCCATTTCAGTACCGCTCACATGGGTCGTATCAGACGATCATTTAAACCCGAGGACTTGTTCGTTCAGTCTAAGCTCTAATAACTCTCATGAAAGGTATAATTTTGTGAGGAAATGTAAAAGAAAAGTAAATCTTCCTATAAGGTATCACATAAATACAGGTTGATGCAACTTAATATGTTAAATTTGTTGAACTTGTTTTTTCAAGCTCACTTAACTGAGATTTTAAAACTTCTGAGATTACTTTATTTATTAAACTGGAGTTTAGTTGATCTATCTTTTTCGGAAGCAGGGAGACTGAAGTTTTAAATCGAGCCAGTTTAAATGATTTATAGAGTTGTATCAAGATTAACCGAGGAAGACTGGGCTCACACCGTTATGTTTTGCAGGGTGGCTTCACCAGGAAATACTCTTTGAGCTCTAAAACCGGAACATTGCTCCCAGACTTCCCCAACGCCCAGCATCTCCTGCTGCAGGGCAATATCTCCAGAGAAAAGGTTGGTGGCAAACCGTTGTCACTGTAGTTCCAGATTTTCTACGTTTTCTGTTAAAAAACACACAACATGCCTGCTTCATAGTGTCACATATAGCACCTGTAAATCCTCCTGGAAAAAATGTTTGAGTGGTTTGTCATGATCAGATCTTAATGTTTCTTTTTCAGGTGGACACTCTGATCATGATGTACAAAACACACTGCCAGTGCATCCTGGATAATGCCATTAACGTCAACTTTGAGGAGGTGATAATCACATGAAAGCATTTCATTGGTACTTAATATTTTTAAGTTTACATGTGCACTCAAGCTGATACAACTCTTGAAATATTTTTTTTTTTCAGATCCAGAATTTTTTGCTCCACTTCTGGCAGGGAATGCCCGACCACCTGCTGCCGCTGCTTGAAAACCCCGTTATAGTCGATATCTTCTGCGTCTGTGACTCCATTCTCTATAAGGTTGTTATGAAACTGTGTTTCCGTGTTTTATAAGTCAATTCATTTTTATTAATTGTAAATGTATAAAGGCCTAAAAATGCTAGATGCATATACCGTAATTTTCAGACTACTGAACACACTTAAATAAACATATAAGCCACACCCACTCACTTTAAAAAGAAAAAAAAGTTATACATATTTCATCACTTCCTCAGTCTCTCTTTCGTTGTCGCTCTCAATGTCACTTCCTTCTCGAGGCAAATTTATAAAAATCATAAAAATCCGTAAATTAGCCGCATCATTGTTTAAGTCGCAGCGTTCAAAGCGTGTGAAAAAAGTAGCTGCTTATAGTCCAGAAATTATTTTTCTGTTAGTTTCTGACGTAGAACAGATTTAGGTTTACCTTTTTGCAATAATGATGCAACATTTCTCATTTTGTACATTTTTATTGTGTTATTTTTGACCACTTGTTTTATAAAAAGGTGCTGAAATTCTGAGCTCATTTTGCAACTATTTTGAAAGTTAGGTAGCCGTTGAATCTCTAAGGATTTTCTCAACCAAAGATCATCCAAAAATCGCTGGTCACCAGTATAGAACACATATAAAAGATATATGTAGCCACCATAGTGTCACCCATTGGTTTGTGGACTGTCATCTTAAAGCATCGAGTTTGGAATTTAGTTGTTGCCATCTTGGTCTTTGGAAACTGTAACCTGAGGACACTATGCCCAGTCATACGGTAGCCACCTGCCAAACACAGGGTAGCCGTGGTTAAAGCATATCCTCCTTTGTCATCTATTTTCCTCTAAATGGGACCATCGTTTACTAAATGAACATCATGTTCTGAATAAGACTTGAAACTGGTGAGTGAGACCATGAGCTCATTAGGAAAATGACTATTGAGGAAACAAATGAAGTGAGGAGTAGTTGTTTGTTGTCTCATAAACTTCTATACGATCAGACTTTTTTTGCATCGGAAGAGTCTCACCGTGCTGGCTCTTTAAATCACATCCACATCGGCTTCATTTTTCAGACCAGGCTGTCTGGGTATGTATAGTTTATAGTCGCAAGTGTCCCTGAGCAAGAGAGAGGGAGGTGTCTTCTGTGACTTCTGAGCAGGGAAACATGAACGTAGCTAAGTAAGACAGATTGCCTCCTCCAAAAAGTATGAAACCCAACTTTATGAAGAAGAATAGATCTGGTTGTTCTCTCTGATTCATCAGTGAACACCTGAATTATCAGTGTGTTGCTCTGTTGTAATAACATGTCCGTTATTTTTCAGGTTTTAACAGATGTTCTGATTCCTGCCACCATGCAGGAGATGCCCGAAAGGTTTGTAACTTCAGCTTCACTTCATGTTCCCTTGATATGTTTTTCTTGAATTATTCATGATGCTTTCATAACACACAGTTCACATTTTATTGAGATAATCCTAAAGTTGTACAGTTGTAGTTTTGGCCATCACTTGCATTTCACTGCCACACAGTCCAACCAAGTGCAAGCATCAGATCTTCACATTATTAATAATGCTGTTTACAGTCTGTTGGCAGACATCCGTAACTTTGCCAAGCACTGGGAGCACTGGCTGGCCTCCTCTCTGGAAAACCTCCCAGAATGCCTTGCAGCCAAGAAGCTCCCCATAGCACGTCGCTTTGTTTCTGCTCTGAAGAGACAGACCTCCTTCTTGCACCTGGCACAGGTACAACCAGTAATATAGTTTTACTCTAATGGCTCAAAACAAGCACCATTTCTGAGGCAACTCTTCCATCCTTCCGTTATTCCAGATAGCACGTCCAGCGCTGTTCGATCAGTCTGTAGTGACCAGCATGGTGCTGGATATCGACAATGTGGATCTCAGCAGCATCAGCTCGCAGCCGCTGCTCAGCGTAACGGCCACTGGAGACCAGGACCCGGATATCTACTCTGAGTGTAAGACTACTACAGACCGTCGAGCACATGTTTGCATTGATCATAACCAAGGTTTGTTTTTTAAAAGGCTAGTATTAGATGATTCACATTAGTAATTCCATACACTGATGTGAATGTACTGTATGTTTTTAAAAGTTACTGTTGGGATGTCCCGACTGAGTTATTTTTTCTTTTGCCCCAGATTGGATCCAATTAATTTCGTGCTTAGTGTCTGATACTATTTTTCCAGATAAAAAACACTTTAAGTAGTGTAGATTAGCTGTAATACCTGGTTACTGGGTCGTACTTCTTACTGTTTAATGCTGTAGCAAACAGAAGAAGTGGGCACTTGCGTGTAAAGAGGAAACAAAGTCATCTGTGAGGCTTAATGACGTCCTGCCAGCGCACATGTATTAACATAAAGTTGGAATCCTCTTGAACATTGTGCTGTTATCCCAGTGGCTGAATGGTTTTGCTCGCAGTAGCAGTGCATGATCAATAAAAATTGTGCTGCATTTATGTGACAAATTATGCAGCTGTTTGTCGATATTTCTGTTGATGTCACTGTGCTTATCAAGGAATTTATTCAACTTTCCAACATACATATGGAAGTGGATGTAAACAAAGGACTGGGCTTGTTGACACTGATCATTTGAAAGTTGCCATGAACGCCCCGAGCACAACATCACTGGTTTCTGTTGCCCCAAAGCAAAAGAGAATCTCTGAAATAAATGAAGAAACACTGACCAACTTCTCTCTTTCTGTGGTCTTTCTCTTTTTTCCAGATGACTCCATTACCGTCTTTCAGGAGCTGAAGGAGCTGCTTAGAAAAAACGCAACGGTGGAGTCGTTCATCGAGTGGTTGGACTCTGTAGTGGAGCATAAAGTCATCAAGGTTGTTTAAATGTGTCTCCTCATGTCTGGACACAGTTCTGCAAATATTCTGTTCTGCAGCTGAATGTTTTTCTTTTCCGCCTTCGTGTCTTGATCAGCCCGGTAAGCAGAGCGGTCGATCAGTGAAGAAGCGAGCCCAGGATTTCCTCCTCAGGTGGAGTTTCTTTGGTGCCAGAGTGATGCACAACCTCACACTCAACAACGCCTCCAGCTTTGGTAGGAAGTCTTTTACCCTGTTACTATCGGATGTTTTTTAGATACTGGAAGACGTATCAAGATTGAAACAAGCAGACAACACCGTGTCTTATCATTTCCACCTTTGAACTTCAGTGTACTGATGACAGTCTCAAAAACACAAATTCAGACTTCCAGAGTTTCATATGTCACAAAACTAAGGAACCAATCCTGCGAGCACATTGACAATGTATGGATGATTTACTGTAATATTATAGCTTGGTGTTGAGTAGGCTGCAAGGTGGCGCAGTTGGCTAGCACTGTTACCTCGCAGCAAGAAGGTCGCCGGTTCACGTCCCGGTGGGGGCACCGGGATCTTTCTGCGTGGAGTTTGCATGTTCTCCCTGTGCAGCGTGGGTTCTCCAGCTTCCTCCCACAAGGTCCACAAACATGTTGAGGTTAATTGGTGATTCTAAATCGTTCATTGGTGTGAATGTGAGTGTGCTTGGTTGTCTGTCTCTAAGTGTAGCCCTGTGACAGACTCCAGCCCCCCATGACCCTCGTGAGGATTAAGCGGTGTATAGATAATGGATGGATGGATGGATGGATGGATGGTATTGAGTAGCACTGAGTAGTTTTCCAGTGTTTGATTAGTGTCATAGGTGAGCTGGTGTGCTCGAGCTGCAGCAGGTGTCAGATAGTTGGCTGGAGAACGAGGTATCAGCTTCTTAGATCTGCACATTCTAGAAGAAACAACAG